ACTTGAGTGAATGACTGGGATTGGTGATCAAAGTGCCAGCCAAGCAAACATTAAAAGTTAGTCATTTCTAATTATTGTGCTGATGCTAAAATTGATTGGAGAAGTCATTAATGTTGGTTTGTTGGTGCGAGATCCGTGCACGTGGGCAATATTTCGGAGTTCGTCTAATTTATGCAGAATTTATACAGATTTGGTGCAATTTGAATGCATAGTGTATAAATCCACATCATTGAACATCGATCATGGATTACCTTGGCAAGTTCTTTCCAGTTGAAAACTGTGTTAATACAATTATTTTAACTGTTATTGACTTCCTTTCACTACCTGTCGGGATAACCTCGATCGTTAGGGATCTATTGTTTAGTATTAAGCTTTTGTTTTTGTTGAATTATAATTCGTTTTATGGCAGAAAATAGATGCCGTGATTGCGATCGAACATACAGGCTTGATACTTGACCAATAATATTTCGTTTTGTTTGAAAAGATGGCTAATCTCAACTGCTTGATCGTAGTTTCATTTCTCTGGGTCATCATGGTCACAGTGATTTTTTATGTAACAGTCTCGGATGTCTAGTGTCATCCGTTCTTGCTTACTAATCAGAAGACCACCTGTTATATCCCAGGACTCTCTATATTACAGAGTTGAAAGGATCGTATCGTCGTCATTTTCTTACCATGCCTAAATAGCTCGCATTACTTTCCAACGTGAATTAAGATCTATTTCATACTTCCCCCTTCGTGTGACAATCGATGTCTTGGATGTCTAGTGTCATAGGTCAACAAACAATCCCCTCCTGACCGCAAGGACGTTGCCGGCACCGATAATGATCTTGAAAGTACTGTTTCACCGGAGTCGATCATCAGTGCTCATGCTCACTACTCAAGCTCACATTGCTTGCTCGTCGTGCTTTATGAGGCAGATGTCGTAGTCGGGTTTGAATGGCTATATCATCAACTCGATCATAAGTTCTAGATAGAGCTGGAATTTAGGGCGTAACAGCTTTTGTAAACAATGACTTCTCTTGATGATTTCTCGGAAGCCTTGGCTCTCTCTGGCAAATCGACATCACCATCGAGTAGAGGAAGACTTCTCCTACCCGATGGATATGATGGTTTGTGTAGGCGTGCCTTGAATTCCGAGAAATCAACGAGAGAAGTCATTGATTACAAAAGCTGTTACGCCCTAATTCCAGCTCTATCTAGCGTTGTGTGTTGTGATATGAGGAGCTCGGGAATCTTAGACAGCCGTTTTTGGTTACTGAGAAGATTCTTCTCTTCTGAAAGTTTCTTCTGATTATGCTGAAAGATTCTTCCAAAACATCCCAAAGGGTTTCTTCTAGCTTCCGTTTACAGGAATCTTTTACAACTTACACTAGAAGTTTCTTTTGAGCTCTCCCAGAAGTTTTATTCGACTTCCTCTGAAAGCTTCTCCAGACTTCCTCCGAAGGATTTTACCCACTTATACTAGAAGTTTCTTCCGAGATTCTTCTGCTTCCCCTGGAATTGCCTTCTAACTTCCCAGGCGCTATCTTTTGAGTTCCTTTAGAAAGCTTTCTGGCAAGGGTTTTCAAACTTTTCCCGGAAGTTTCTCTAGACTTTTCTCGAAAGTTTCTGCAGACATCTCTCGGAATTTTTCTTATCCTTCCCTGGAAGTTTCTGCCAACTTCCTTGAAAAAAGTTCTTCTGCCTTCCTCTGTTTTTTTTTTAATCCAAGTGTATAAAAACTTCTCGATCATCTCGAGATCCTCCCATAATTTATCGGATATCTACGGGACAATGGACTGTTTCCACTGAAAGTTTCTTTTTTTTTTTCCTTGTCGGGTATTTTCATCACTGCGACCATTTTTCTGATCTATTGTGATATATTCCCCATTTTTCTTTTTCTTTAGCTATATCAAGATGCCGTATCAAGTTTCTTATAATTTTCTGTAGAAGTTTTCTCTTTTCAACTTCTTCCACCTCCCGAAAGTTTCTTTCGACTTTCCTGAGAACATAAATAAAATTGCCCAGAAATGGTTCCCGTGTCATGTGATGAATCTTGTTACGACAAGATGATGATCTTTCGTATCTGATTTTAACATTGCTTTGGAAGGTCCATTCAGCTTCTTGGCATCGCCGGTGACATCGACATCATGGAACTATGAAGCAATGGCAGAAGCAACTGAAGGCTGAAGCCAAGGGGATTGGACATGTCACGAACCGAAGACGAAATACATGAGAGAAAGAGGCTCAAGAGAAGAGAATGATCGTATATTTGTGCTCACTGGTGACCGCCGATAATAACATTAGCAGATAAATACAAAGACACATTGTGTCAGAAAATCGTGCATACTTTGGACACCGGCACGAAGTTGATTATATACAAAACGTTGATTAGACCGGTATTCCTCTCTGGCCACGAAACCCGGACTATGCTCGTGGATGACCTACGCGCCTTTGATGATACGTTCCATCTGCGGTGGAGTTGAATGAATGGAAGACCAAAGGTGGAGGAGACGAATGAACTGTGAATTGCACCAGCTAGTGGGAGAACCACTATTCGTTCATACCGTAAAAATCGGGTAAGGGTTCTCGAGAACGACCCAACTGGAACTAGACGAAAGTACACAGGTGGCCTACGAAACCTCCGCAAAACGCAGCTCGGTCGAGATGGTTTATATATACAATATAGGACAACCAGCGTATTTGCTCGTTTTGCTTTGCGGTCGTTCGACAGACTTTTTATTTTCAATTAATTTATTTATTAAGGCTCAAATATCCACGAAGCCGAGAACCAGTAAATAATTGTATAGTAATCAAAAAAATATTCATAAGAAACATTGTTTATGAGTTCTTCTTACTTTTCTGGGAGGCGACTTGAGCTTTGCTTCCACTTTATGCCGTGCCCGCAACTCCCTTTCATCTTTTAATCGTTTTTCCATCAACAGGGCCAGCCGCTTGACCTCCTCTTTGTCCTTTATCCACTTTTTCTCGGTATAGTACACAATTCCGAATCTGTCGAAATAATATGCCTTATTTTAATCCTTGAATACAGGCGGCTGGTGTTTCTGGAAATCAAATCCATCTCCACCACCTCTTCTTTAAGCATTACAACAGCTTCCTCTGTGTCTTTATTGCTGTTGTCTATTGACGATGCACCTCCAGTCACTACACCAGCGATTGTACTGTTACTGCTTTGTTCTTCATTCCGTAGTTCGTTGGTTGGTTGGAGCAGAAATTCATACGATGCCCCTCTATTTTACGCAATAAAAGCAAGTTTGTCGACAGCTAAGAGCACACTGTACTGACAGAGTTTCCAGACTACTTAATATGTTGTCTGAACCAACTCTAAAATGATTCTGGGGCATACCGTTTGGCAGAGAACTAGACAACGATGCCAGACACTAAGTAAACATTGCCAGTGGTGAAGCTTTATGTTGTGTTCGGGTGTGAAACAAAAATCTCGGAAGTCAAACACTCCTGCATGCTATCACGAATGACTGTAGCAGTTTTCATGGTGTTTGTTAAGCATTGTTTATTGCAGAAAAATGCAGATGAGATTCATTGCAACGCGATCACAGCTTGCGATATTATCCGCTGCTGTTTGTTCGCTGATTTTTTTTTTCGGGAGGATCATAGTGTGATCATTATTAATAGTAAGCTTCAACCATCGAGGAAAGGTTAACCGAAAAAGAAAAACAAAACCTACCAAACATAACCGCAAACAGGTAAAATAGTGAGAAATCAATAGGATCCTATTGAAACTGAAACATTTGGACAGCAAGGATTTGCCTGAAAAATAATGCAAAGAAAAAGGTACAGTGATAATTTCATCAAGCAACATCCAACTTAGCAAGCAAAAAAACATTACTCTCCAACAAACCAATTGTAAATTCTTCTTCTCTCAACCCGCAAAATAAAACCGTGGCCAACTGTCGTTTTCCTTTTATCCAATCGTTACTCCACGTTGACTTCCCATAGAAGATGTCATTCTATGTTTCTCAAGCTGCGACTCTGGGCATTAACATCGATCCCGCATATATTTTGGTAGGAGTCTAAGGCAAAACTTATGTTGATTTTATTTCTTTATTTTATACATCGTTTCAACTCCTCGTCCAAGTCAGGAAAGTTCCATGAGTGCGGTGCACCGCTCTCATTGCTCTCATTTTATCCGGCATAGCGATAGGTTCTATTTACAAGTTTTTTTCCTCCTTGCTCTTCCTCTTGCTGTTAAGTTTTTAATAGATTTACAAATTTGCTTTGTTCAATGAGTTATTTAACTTTTCTTCGAAGAAAAAAGTTTGTTTTCCTGTTCCATACCAGCTGTACACTAAGTGGCGGTCGCTTTTTGTTTGTTTCTGTTTCTCTATAGTCTTATGAGATATATGAGAAATAGGAAAGAGAAAATTACATGAAAATGCGTGTCAATTTGGCGAAAATTATCTGAGAGGGAACGAATCTGTTTCACGATACGTTACTTTTGGTTGGAACTTCAATTAAAAATGAATAGGAATGATGTAGTTCGTAGGATCGTATGCTTTGGATTTTTCAATGTCAAGATTCTTTGTTTTGTTAAATTGATTAATAATAATTAAATGTTCCTTGTTTCATAAATATAATGGAAGGCTTGATTATTTGTTTCATCTTTATACAAAGTAGTTATCAACTTGCTTTGTTATGAATCGTCTGATGCTGCATTTTTATGACTTGTATCGTTACTGTTTTTTTTCACTTTGTTTTTAATATTAATTTTAATAAATTCACAGATTTGAGTTTCATTTTTTCCTTAGATGTACTTTTGCTTTTAATAAATACGCGAAAAATCTGAAAATTGCTCTCGCTCTCCGTGCTCGTATGTGAGTGTGGTTTACTTTTTTTTTTGGTTTTGTTTGGTTGCTTATCGCTTCGTCTCACGGGCTCAATTTGTTAATTTGTTTTTAGTCTAGTCTCCTATACTGGAACTTGTTGCCGTTACGATCGGTATTTGGCTTCCTAGTACTAACTGACGTGGCTTGGATTGTACGAAAAATAAGGATGTGGATTTTGTAAACCAGATAGTAGGTACGCCGATGAAACTTATGCTGAGGTTTGTCAAGGTTATTTTTACTGCAATGGAATGGTAAGAAGGTTATAAGTATCTGTTAGATTGACGTACATATGGTTAAATGGTGCGGAAACAGGAAGCTAGCGAAACATGGCAATTCACTGAGGTATAACTCAGCATGGCTGACATCGGTACCTGTTCTGGAGTGCGGTCCAGTTGTTTCCAATGTCATGCTTAGTTGCTACCAACAAATTATCCAAGACGAATATGGGGTTTCATATTATAAGAAGTATATGTACAATGTGCGCAAAATCCATTTTACTATCCTACTCATATGCTGCGTCCTCGAAAAGCATTCTGTTGAAAAAATATGTGCTATTTACGTACGCAGACAAAGATACAAAACAAGCATGAACGTAACGTGATGATTGAAGGGAGGGGTGAATGTCGGCTTTCTAGTGACAAGGCTAAATGTTTAGAATTTTGACAATTTTGGTACGCTCAAGGATACCAGTCCCCCAGCTTTTAAATTATCTATTAGATTATTAAGTCCAATATATTGAAAGTTTTACAAAATTGCAAAATTAAAAAAAAATTAGTTGAAGAATTATGAATTTATTTCTTAAAACTAAGCCCAACTCTAAGCCAAACTAAGCCAAATTTCAAACAGAGATAAATTTAACTTTAAACTATGTTTTAGCGTGCCGTGTTCGTTCACCATTCCCTTTAGAGCAAAACTATGTTTACAACGTCAGTAGAATTATTTTATATTAATAAATAACCATGTCGCATAAAAATAAAACATTAAGAAAATTTAAAAAAAAACTATTCTCGATACATACTAGAACGTGTAAACAAGGGTTTCATTAACCGCCCATGTCAAAGTGTAAATATTGACCATTTGAAATTGCTGCCTTTCCTGGCCATTAAACACGCTAAATGGTTTGTAAGTTCCCTGATAATCCGGTACCATACACAAACGATATTATAGATTGTGTGAACATACCGCATAGAATTGGGATGATATCCCGAATTGGTGCTTCTTATGGTTAATGTTTATGTAAATAGGTTCTGGTTGTTTGATAACTGTAAGTTTGTATTAGATTTTGATTTCCAATTCACCTTCCTTATACAATATTGGTTGTAACGTCTACGATTTGACATCTAATTAACTGGTTTAAGTTGACAGTTCGACTAGATAGAAGGTTGCTTTTTTTAATTTATTCAGATCTGTAAGACCTATTGGATGGTGCACAGTTAAGTTGAGAATTTTCTTACCAGGCATCACTAATGTACCATATGACTTGCTAGTGACAATCTACAAACAATCCAGAACAAGATCTTTAAAATGATCCTGAACAATCCTCAAAAGGTTAAAAATTATGAGGTTCATCGCTGTTCATCCTGCCTCGGACCGTCGGGGCAGCAACAGCTCGTCGTTTAAGGTGATTCGATACGTCAGCTTTTTCTCTCCTTTGTATATGTCAGTGAATTGATTATCATTGATGCTTAAGGTTGAGTGCACATCATGAACCGTAAACATAGCTTCTAGAGTTCGTTATTATTAGGCCAAATGTGTAACAGTTAAAAAAACAGTAAGTTAAAAATAGTGATATCTATCTTCCTAATTTTTTAAACATTATCTGTTTACCATCCAATATTGAAACCTTCACTAAATTTCTATTTCTATTTACATACAATTTGTAAAATTTCTATAAAGTTCATATTTTGCGTAAAGAGAAATGAGTAATTCTCGTTGAAACTAAGCTGCCATTGGCATATGGTCTTTAAATATTTAAATATATCCGCTAGATTGGTCGAAGCTGATGAAAAAAATGAGATTGACACTTTCCTTAGTTAAAATTAATGGACCTTTTGCTCACCAAGATGCCTTATGGTTTTCAAAAAGCTGAATTTCTAGCAATTCTTAACATATTTATCATGTTAATTCTTTAAAATTTCATATGAAGCCCTCCTGCAAACAACACGTAATATGAAGAGGAAGGATACTCGTGACTGGATCGAGGTTCGGTTAATCAGATGGTTGACAGGTGAGCGCTGAACTTTCCGATAACCGGTCTAAATTTCTCCTCCTGGCCAACCTGAGCGTTTAGATCTCTGATAACGATTTTGACGTCATAGTTTGGGCATCTATCGTATACTCGTTCCAGGGGCGCGTAAAAAGCGTCTTTATCATCATCGTCACTTCCTAGGTGAGGGCTATGCACTTTTATTACGCTAACATTGAAGAAACGGCCATTGATCCTCAACTTGCACATTCTGTTGTCGATTGGCCACCACTCAATCACGCGCTTTTGCATTTTATCCATCACGATAAAAGCTGTACCCAGCTTCATGTATGTTTCCACAGCTCTGGTAGCTGGTATAACCATCCATATACGTATGTACCGACGATCCCTTCCAGCTTATCGGCCTGGCTTACACAGAAACAAATTCTGAATTTTAGTTATCGCGTAAAATCTCCCTTCGTTTAATTTTGAGCTACTCTTGGCATAAATAGTGAAATCGTTTACAAGCTTGCATACAATATTGCTAATTTATGCGATATTGCGCTTAAATTTACACGAAATATCGCGTACATTTATGCCAAATCTAGCGTTAATTTTATGTGCGCTACATCTCGCAGAAATTTACATGAATTTTTCGAACGGTGTATCTGATGAGGCCCGTATATAGTCAAAAAGGCGAAACAACATGCCTATGGTTACTTGGGTTACACGAAGTTCCCTGAATTTGTTTGAAGTACACTAGTCTTCTTTTAAGCTGAGGTTCCCTGAATTCCTTTGAAGTTCTTGCCAATATTCGTATCTGCCAAGTTCCCTGTACTTCTACAGAATTCCCTTAAATATTCCATATCCATGAAACTTTAACTAAGTGCCCTGTTAATAAAAGAAGATGCCGGAAGAATTATGAACTTTCTAGAAATTAAACAAGATTCCCTCTAAAACTTCAATAAAGTTCCCAAAACTTGGACAAACTTCCTACTTCTACAAAGTTTTCCCGATTTTTTACAAAGCTCCCTGAATTTCTACGCAGTTCTCTGAAGCTCCCCGGATTTCAATTAATTTTTCGGAATTCCTACGATTTCTACGAGTTTCTGAAAAATTCACGAAATTTCTCTAAACTTCTACAAAGTTTGATGAAGTTCTGCCAAATTAGCTAAAGTATCTTAAAAATTATCTGCACTTCTACGAGATTTATTGCTGAACTCCTATGTCGCATTAATCGCCATTGTCGTGACTGGACCGAGGTTTCCTGCCTCGGTCATGGTTCCACGAATCTACCGCTCAGCTTGTGTTCCGATGTAGTAACCGGACCGAGGTTTCCAGCCTCAGTCACGGTTCCACAAATCTGCTGCTACCTCTGTTGCTATCCCTTCTGCTGGTGGTCCTTTGCTGGTCGTCCGCTCTCTCCATAGTCCGTCATAAGAATGTGGAACGCTTCACGAATTTCTTATGACGGACTGTGAAGAGAGCGGACGACCAGCAAAGGACCACCAGCAAAAAGGATAGCGGCACCAGCGGCAGATTCGTGAAACCGTGACCGAGGGTGGAAACCTCGGTCCAGTCACGACAGGTGCGTTCATCACAATGATTTTGACATTTGGTTTTTCTCGACGGAAGTTTGTTCTGTGTTCCAGATTCACTAAGGATGTTGAAGAATCGTGCAATTCAGCAGAGTTGCGACCTATCACTATCACGATCGTCAAAAAGCTGATGATAGTAACGCTTGGTACATTCCTATCAATGTGCTTGTCGAAGCACTCCCCGTGGCCATCCATCAAGTTGACGAAAGAAGTAAAAATCAACTGATGAATTTCGTCTTCGATGGTGATCCATCGCCGATCTGGTCATTCCCGACATCACGAACTCATCTGTGCTCGTTTTGAAGCAGATGCTGCTTTGCTTGATTATGTGAATGTGTTGGTGAGTGAGCCCAATAGCTTCGTTTAACTTTGGCAGCTTTATTTGTAACTTACACAATCGTGCGTGCCGAGACGAACTTGGAATGCGTACACACTAAGATTTTTTTACAGGAGTCAGTATTTTTTTACTGGGTTTTCGAATTACTGAAAAAGTCGGTAAAAATTCAAATGACCGTTATCCGTAAGGAATCAATGAAATCGACCAATTTTATTTTCTATCATTAAATGGGGTTAACAGAACTAAGTATGTACAAGTTCAGAACAAATTTTCTCATTAATAAATTTTCCACAGATTTTTAAACTTTTACCGAACAGTTCCGCAATTCAAAAACTCGGTAAAACCGTACTGACTCGATTAGTGTGTAGGCATTGTATTCATTTTCTTCAGTCGTTTCGCTTTTTATCATCATCGTACTGCAGAAGTCTTCACTGTTTTCGTTGTGCTTTACATCATCAGCAGCGAGTGTGACGTTTTGCCTGTGAGAAGTGACCATTACTGGTTTTGAAATCTAAGATGGCCGCAAAAAACATTCATTCCGAATTAAAGCCCTATCTTTCCCCTTCACAATAACGTATTGTTTGCAGAACGGTTCCATATGAAATTTCAAAGATGTAACATGATAAAAATGTTAATAATTGCTAGAAATTCAACTATTTTGAAAACGTTAAGGCCCCTTGGTGAGCGAGGGGTCCTTTAATTTGAGTTAAGGAATGTGACCAATCTCATTTTTTCAATAGTTCAACCAATCAAGCGGATATATTTAAATATTTCAAGACAATGTATAAATGGCGGCCTGGTTTCAACGAGAATTACAAGTTTACACGCATGTAGAATATAATTTTGAATATTACTGGTGATGTAATCTGTGTATATAAGAAGACAGCCCCGGTATAGTTTACATTGATAAGACATTAAATGGTGTACACTGCAGTTCACAATTTACTCACCAGGCAGCACTAGTGTGTCATTTGGTTTCAAGTTGGTTGTTGTAACATGACAGCTCGACTAGGTAGAAGGTTCCTATGTTTGGTAAAGTTGTTCTGGTTGGCAAGACCAAGGATGATGGACATCTTAGTTAATGCCTTATATTGCAACAATGACAATTAACGGGCTTGTTGGTTACTTGGATCATCCGCTGCTCAAATATTTGGCTCCAAAGGTCAGTTTATTCAGTTAATTCCAGCATCTGGCCGTGTAAACAGTGAGCCGCGTCACCTTACCGGTCCTGCTGAGTTTCCGATTGACAATTACCTAATACTATTCGATCGGGTGGAATTCGGAATAATTAGGAAGATTCACAAAGGTATCTCCTGGCAGTCCCAGCTTTAGTGACAGCTTGCCAAATCTAGCCAAGACGTCATATGTCCACTTTATTGGTGGAATGCATTTTTCCGGACACTCTTGTTGGTATAGCTGCGAGTCCATCGTATTGTTTGTCACAAAACCAGGAGTTTTGGCCACAGCTGTAGATCCCCAGCCAGTTAATCAGCTTTTGGGAGAGTTTGTCGGCGGAAACGAACCTTAACTTGCCAGAGATATCTCCTGGCGCAGTGGCCATTTTGTTATTATTTTATTTTGGGCAATTTCAATGTTTTCGTGATTTTCGGATCGACTAAACACCGTATGAAAAATTAAATTCAATTCCTGCGATGTATAGCTCACAAGTTACTAACGCAATTTCGTATTTTATGCCAACTAAAGCTCAAATTAAACAAAAGGAGCTTTTAAGTGACAGTTAAAAATTTTAATTGTTTTATCTGTCTTCCAATGAACAACTTTTTAAAAACTGCACGAATCAAAACGAAGCGCTGAAAGAGGAGAACATTCAAAACAAACTGCTGTTAATATATTCCAGAAATGACCACTAGAAGCGGTGCGTTACTATACCAGAATCTAATTGATGCACACTTCATAAGATTTTTTTTTTGAAGAGTGGGACAAATGCAGGTCCTAAATCAACTAGTTGGCCCAACCCAGACAACCAGAAGTCGTATAACAATGTACAGGCAGTATTGTAAATTGTTACAGTTTAAGTCAAAATCGCATATAAGAATGGCATACCTCACATTATGTTTAATTTAAGTCGTATAGAATGCAAATTTCCGACTTATATACGATGACTCATTTTTCCGTCGTACTGTATCACAAATTATATCGGATTACATCGTAAGACATTTCAAAATGAATTTGTTATTACAGATTAAATCGTATATGATGTTAAATCAACTCGTTTCAAATTAAATTAATATATGCACGTATATGGCCTCCACTTTTGTACGTATAAGCCATTTATTTGCATTATATACGAATTGTTTGTTTGTATATATGTTTGTATATCACGAAAACAACTTTGAATATACGTGCATTCTGGTTGTCTGGGAAAGTTTATGTCGAGTACTATTAATTAATGAAGGTTAAGTTTGTCTCCTTCTACAATTTCGTAACACTGTGCGATTGAACAACAACTGTAAAATTGAACGGTGGTTAGATGATATGATCGGTTAGAGCAATTGAAGCAGTTTTAGGTTATTTTCATGATATTTTTACTATTAAGCAGATAAACTGTAAAATTATGCTTTTCGCAACACCGATACCAATTAGGATGTGTGAAGTAATGTTCAATAAGAGATTAACATCGTCTATTTAAACAAATCACATTTTCTTCAGATTTTAAAGAAAATATAGCCAAGAGGTAAAACAAATTTTAGATGGATGGAGCAACATTATATTCCAGACTTCTTGGCAATGTGTGCCTTTGTATTTTATAACTCAGCAAATGAAAGAATTATTCCTTCCTTTCTCGAGACTGATTAAATTTTAACGATTCGTCAGTTGTTTAAATTATTTAATATGGAAACATTCTCGTAATTTGCCACGCCGGATAGTAACCGATCCAGTTGGTTTACTGAAAATAAAAATCCTCAGAGGGAGAGATGGACGGAGAAATAAAAATGCAATTCAGCAGCAGGGTTTTGTATGTCAAATATGCTGCAACCATTGCCATTTCAAATGACTTATCAATTTGATTTGATGTACGTGCAAAATAATAATTGAGTGCATCGCAATAAGCAAGCAAAGATCAATTGAACAATAGAGTTAGGAAATTTGGATCTCAAAATGTTACCTGGTCATCTCTCCCTCTGAGTATTTCTTGATGAAACCATGCTAAAGGATCAGGAATTGCCATTTTTTGCTCAAATACTACGTTTAAATCTAAAAATCTACAGCTAAACTCATCTAAACCTATCGTAAGCAATTATGATATGTATGGATAAATGTGATTTAAAAAAACAAAAAACGGAAGACAAATCACTAGAAGTACAAATCATTACTTTGTAAAGCACCTGTCTTCTAGATAATAAAAAAAACAACAAACAAGAGTTACATGATAGTTCATGCAAACGAAAGAGAATGCACCTAACCACTAATAGTCCTAAGCTTCTTTGCCTGGAATGGTACTGAAAATCCTAACTACGCATTGATAATACAGAGGTTAATACAGAGTCATGCATAAAGTTAAAACGTACCTATGATCAACTAAAACATTTTTAGTTCTTTTTTCATAATCTCAATGCATACGCTCTAGCGCTTAGTTCAGCGATCGGATTCAAGTGTGACTAATTTTAGGTATTTGATGCATTGTGACAAAACACACTATTTTAAAAGTGCTTTCGACATTGCCTCTATTAAATAATATAACTAATGACAGGATTCGAAATGAACGAAACTTTAACAAACTCAAAAGAAGCGACAATTGTAGGGTTGAAATCGAAGGAGGGATCTAAACCAAGATCCAGTGTGGTAGGTTAACTAAATAAGACTATAAATCCAATAGCACTGTTAGAGTATGGGTAAAGCGAACGGGATGTCGTACTTTGAGCATATTTAGATGCCGCGTTTACGGATTGCACCTGGAAAAGTAAGTAAGCTACCAGATGCAAAGTTAGGAATGCGAGCGCCGTGGTTCTCTGATATGGAATCAACATTAACAGGATTTAAAACTTGTGGTATCTGATGGCAAGTGAAATGATGATTCCATGTTATGACTTGATTCTTGATATTTAAGTACTGCGAGAATTCTGGCAAAATGACATACCGAAACATACTAAAACGTTTGAAATTAAGAAAAGTGGTATGTAAATACGAATCACACAAACCTAGATAGTTTCACAATACGAAGTGCAATCTTTGCTGATCCCGCTCGCAATCCGTTGAAAATCAGCAAAAGTGTGTAGCATCCTGGTAGGGGAGTTGAGGGTGTTTCAAGCTTCAACTCGAGAAGATCGTGCTCGAAAAGATACTATTAGCTAGAGTGTCAACTATCATAGAGCTATATTAAACAAACTTGACGAGAAAGAAGGTATTCACAACTTGTAGAGAACGCTATGCCAAAACTGATGCTCCAGCTGACGAGTTATAGTATCTAATGCGGATTCTTTTCACTATACAGAGAAAACGATGACTGCTGCTAGACAAAATTCCAGTTCGTATCAAAAAACAACAACACCAAACCATCTCATAGTACGAACCGAAAACAGAAGAGATACAGATCTGAACTAAAAAAGTCGAAAACCAAAACAATACCGAAGGAGAAAATTAAACATAGTGATGTCAATGAGTTTTACAGCTTAAGTGAATCGAGTGATGCAATTGAGGATCGCCTAGATAGACCCAAACTAGGTGGTCCACTGACCAGTGATGTGGTTCCGAATAGTTTGTACCATCCGATGACTAAATGTGATAGGTTTAGGTTGTCCAGCATTATTTGAGCTACACCCATGAACACTTTTTTTCCTTCCATTCGTCCGTAATCACCCCATACCGTCACCTAAAAAAGAAAGAAAAATTTCAAACGTATCAAGTCACGCTCCGGGGCCCCACCCAACGAGGCTCCTCTTACTTGTAGTATGCAGCCAGCAAATGGTTCTCTAAACAGTAATTGTTGTTGATATAATGGATCTAACGTTTTCCTAGCAGTCGTTGTTTTAGCTTTTTCTATACACTTTTTACCGGAAACTAAATACACTTTAACATAAGGCGCTGGAAGTACTTTTGAGCCAGGACGTGCCTAGAAGAAATAAAAAAATAAATTATAATCCTTTCTGAATTGACTCTGCCGATCAGCTGCGATGAACTCACCTGCAAATCTCTCGCTCTTATCACTTCAACTTCTAAGGAACCCTTCTGATAGTACATAGACAGTTGAATATCACCTAAGGCAGGAGCACCCAGTACTTGGCGTCCGACAAGCTGTCCTGGTCCCAAACCCTCGATGAAGTCCGACAAAGGTCCGGTATCGCCGGCCATCCGCAGCGATGGTGACCACCTTCGTCGGAGGTGATTTATTTGTGAGATAGATAGAAAATCACAGTTAGAAGGATGCATTTTCTTCGCTACTCAAAAAATCCAAAACGAAATGATTATACTTATAGTGAACGGAACTCGTTCCTGCATGCAGGAATCAACTACAGGAAATGATTTACTAAAAGAAGTGAGATAGTGAACTACGGCAAGTGTGATAGGCAGATCTTGACGAATGGATATAGCTTAACTCTCAAACCTCCAACGTCTGATACTAAAACATGTTAAAACTATTATAACTCCGTCATTTCTGAACAAATTGTTATCTATCCATCGAAAAAAAAAACTGCAAAATCCTCAAGTTTTGATAACTTATAAATGATTTGTGGATATTTTGAATTGAAATGGGGTAGTTTTTTGACGTTGGGGGTTTGAGGGTTAATTAAAATATAAATTGAATTTCAGCAGCATGCATTAGTGATATTGAGGGCAACTGCATCTGTTTTGAACATTGCAGACGTTGTTATAAATTGCAATTGATTTTTCATATATTGTCAAAACTGGTGCAGCTATTATTATGTGAAAAGCAAGGATCAGCGATGAAAGTAAATTGTATATGTTGTTTTAATGTAAGAATTCGAAACACGTTATATTTGTATCTGAACCAAGGTACGGTTTGACTTAAATCCAAAAGTTCCTATATAATATGTAATTGTGCCATTATTAGGGTTTACTTCAGTTATCGTACATGTTATAACTTGTCAATGTTAGAAAGAAGGAGCCAACACATTTTTTACGCATTGCTTCAATCTTCTCAAAAAAATTTGTTTTTTTTTTGTATTTTACCCATTCCAGATTCTTCCAGAGCACCCAAAAGTTCAACTTTGCAAAAACCGTTTCAACTTTCCCCGATGTACCTTATTTAAATTTCCTTAAAACGTTTTGTCCACTCGACCTTTTGTCCATTTCAGCCTTTTTAACATTTCAACAATTTGTCCATTCGTCGTTTAATCCATTCGACCTTTTGTTCATTGTGAACTTTTTTCTTGTTAATTTCATTTGACGTTTGGTTCATTTTAATCATTTGTCCATTTAACCCTTTGACCCCGTAACTTTCATTAAACCTTTTATCCGTTCGACCTTTTGTCCAGTGACGAAATAGGGAAGCTCATTCAACATTTTGACCCTTCGATAATTTAACCATTCGACCTTTTCTCCATTCGACATTATGAACCGTCGACTATTTGTCCACTCGACCTTTTTTCCTTTGTCTAATTGTCCTTAAACCAGTGTAACCATCTAGCTCACTAGCATCTAGCAGCAACTGGTGTACTGTATTACCACTACTTAGAACGTTCTTTCGACAATACACTGTGGTCCTAAACGGCAATTTATAAAATATTTAATCAGTTGCTATTGATTTTAGAGAGTTGATGTCCTGATAAAAGTTGTTTGTATTTATATGGGCCACCTCTTCGTAAAAATATGGTTAGGGTGGTCCTCATTTTTACTTACCAACCTAACTTTTTTGTTGAAGTTATAGCTGATTCGATTCTTGAGCAAAGTTGTAGCATAAAATATTTCAATTTACTTTGCTGCAGATACAATTTTTCTAGCTCTTCATCTGACCATACTAGAGTTATTTGTGTTCTTTAAGCAAACATGTGTTTTTAAATGTTACGAAAAAGTGATGTTGAGAAGAGTTGTAGGGAAAATTATGATGCACATTTTTGCTGAACAAATTGGGTATACACGAAAAGCATACAATATTGAGTTGTTAGTTACCCATGTAGTTGAAAAGATTTTTCTTTTTCTTTATACGGCATCTGAAAAGCTATGAAAAACGCGGTGAAAACTGCAAGAACAACATTTTAAATTGCAGTAAATTGCCTTTAAAAATTCCTCAATACTTCAGAAAAGCTCTAGTATGTAATTGTAATTGTTCTTCAGTAAATATACTTAAAATATTTTTTTCTATAACTTTGCTCTAGAGTGAAACCATTTAAATCATCAAACACAAATTTTAGGTTTCTGGTTTAAGTAAACATGATGACCACCCTAATCATCACTTTCGTAAAAAGGAGGCCCATTTCAACGCAAACAACTTTTCCCGAGAGCCTAATGCCTCGGATACACTTGCATGACAATCTATGAAAATTAGTATTAGGGGAAATGTCTCTAATGTTGGCCTATGGATCTAAGATTGGGCCCATCGCTAAAAATCTGCTATTTATCTATTTTATCTAGATGAACGCGTCATTTCGTCGATACTAATGGATATTTTTGGTTGCTATTGAAAATTTAGTCGATTGCTGATATGTATGGGCCCAAATTAGGGACACTTAGGCCGACATTACCTACATTTCCCCTATTTGTATAATAAATTATGAGCAAATCCAAAAACTATACAAGTTTGACCATAGATGTGCTCATAATTTATCATACATCATGCTCATGCTCATAGTTGATCATACAAGTGTATCCGCGGCATAACCCTCTTAAATGAATAGCAACAGAGTAAATAATATTGTTCATGCTAAATTGCCGTTGCGAACCACAGTTATCCATGTCGTCAGCAAAGTAAACGAATTGGCTGGATTTATTGAAAATCGTGCAAGTTCCACAACATCTTCAGCGCAATGTTGAAAAGTGGACATGAAAAACGTCGCCTTGTCGAAGACCTTTGCGTATTTTAAACGAGTTTAATAACCCGACAAATTATTTTAGCTGCAGCAAAGTTTATACAGAAAAAAAATCAACTGCTTGAGCCAACCTGTAAATACTGTTATGCAGGTAAAATTGAAACTTGCGAACGTACCCTATATGTTTACACTATCTATATACACCCACTATAGTAGCCTTGATCAGTCTAGTCAGTTTCTAGAGAAACCCTGGCTCTTCCATAATTTTCCATTGCTCTTCAAGGTCATTGGTATCGTGAGCGTCCTTGAAATAGATGAATCGATGGTGCGTAGAAACTTGATGATCGTGAGACTCTTGGAGGATTTGCCGTAACGTACGGATTGATCTGGTATCGATCATCGGTCCACAAAACCGGTTGATATCTTCCCACAAATCCGCTCACTAGCGGTGAATGTACTTTGTATGTTTCGTTGAGAATTGTGATGGCTCGATAGTTCTCACATTCTAATTTGTCACCTTTTTTGTACCTATATTCGACATACTCCCTCTTTCCACTCCTCAGGGAGCTGTTCTGATTCCTTCAGTTGGAGCAGACATACATAGATGTTGAGGGAGCATGCATAAGGTGCTACCCATAGGTCCCTGGCAGAGAGAAAGCTGGTGACCGAGTTGACGATTATTAATAAAATCTTTTGCCATCTCGGTCACCAGATTTCAATCTGCTAAAGGCCATAAATTTCAGAGACAGTTTTTGAGCGTAGAGGGATGTTCATTAGAGTGATGCAAAAATGTAATGTATAGAACAAAAGTTATTAATGGTTCAAGACGCTAATCATTAGCAAAACGATATTTTTTCGCTCTCATTCTCTCTCAATATCACGCGTGATATTGCAACAAATATCATGCTTGATTTTAACTATACTAGCTCCTTTGATAAGTAAAATTTTATCTAAGAGTTAATTCAACACAAAAACGATCCAAGCGCACATTTTTTTTTGATTGTGTAGTTCCGGAGAAATGTCCTCATTCCTCCGGCTCTTATGGGTGTGATATATGACAGATAAACCATTCTAAACGATGATCATCTTAACTCTAGTTTATTTAAGTCATATTTTCTATTAATATACATACACAGGTAAATCCCTTGCGGAAGGTCAATATTCCTTAATAATTTACCTCTAGAAATCTACCTATGTTTATCATACAACTGCGCGAGGTAGTTCTTTAGGAGTATTGGTGGTAATTTACCACGCTGGTGAGCTTTGTTAGCTTTATATTCGGAGCTACGATATCGCAGCTTGTAGCTAATATCATCCGTAGTTGTTTGCTTGTTGATGTTTTCTACGGAAATCAAGCGTGATAATGGTCATTGGTTGGATTTAATTTTTTTTTTTTATATTTTCCAAAAACTGCTTATGATATCCTAAATGAAATACTCAGCAGGCAACATTGGTGTATCTGGCACGTGGAATACACGGCGATACAAATTTGAGTTTAGTTTACTTATAATCGGCAAAAGTGCAGGAACGCAGCGATGATTAAATGTGCCTCGTGTTTTTCTGTGGAAAACCTTAAAAATCTGCAGGAAAATGAGGAAATTTGACGAAAATTTTACTCAGTCTAGGAGTAGTACCAATAGACTGAGTGAATTCAATCTTTACTTTTCTCATATTCAAGTTTTTCCAGGAGAAACTTTGAAAATCCTCATCGCTGAGTACCTGCACTTTATGCGATTTATGAGTAAGCTAAACTCAAATTTGGGTCGTTCTCATTCGTCGTGTAGAACACAAAAATCATGGCTGCTATACACTGCACAATACAGTGTTGCCTACAAAGCAGCTGATTGATCATGTCATAAGATTACCAATCTCTTAAATGATTAATAACAATTTAAATTGACGTTTGGCTGGAAATCAAATTATGTAGCTGATAAAATTTCCTTCAAGAATAGGTGATGATTTTTTCTCATAGTAATATGAAAAAAAGACTAGAAGGCAATAAACAAAAAGTTCGATTAGCCCACAGTACTTTACTTCTGTACAAACAGATTTTGAACATTCAGATTATTCAAATTTCCGGAGGATGATCAGACTCCGATATTAAACCGTTTGGGCAGTGTGAAGCAATAATTTCAAATTTTGCATCAGTCTAATGTTCTTACCAATTCTTCATCAATTTCTATGAGGCCGTAGACACTTGCCGACCCCCTTCCATAATCTGTCTAAGTAGTTTATTAACAGTTCTTAAGCTGGATCTGGCGGAAATAGTTGTTGAGTTTTATTTCGTCGATTTCAATTAAAATCAGGGTGCCTTCCATTCATTTTGACTAAAAAAATGTTTTATGAAATTATGGAATAATAGGATATTATGATGATATTTTGTATGTGTAAGTAATAAGAAAAGATTGTAAAGTTTGTGTTTCACACATCAAATCTCCAAATTTAGCTTTGACAGAGTCACAATGAGCGTTTTTCTGATCGCCTCATCGCGAAGAGTGAAGAGCGAAGAGTGGGTGAGATAAATTACAAAATCGCTTATTGCGACTCTCATGTAGCAAAATTAGCAGGTATTATGTGTCAAACACAAACTTAAAAATCTTTTCTTGTTGTTTACATATTAAAAATATTTTCATAACATCCTATTATTCCATAATTTCTTAAAACATTTGTTTAGTCAAAATGAATGGAAGGCACCCTGATTAAAATGTAGAGTTACTAGAAAATGTTGTACATGCACTGTGTGCTCTGGTACAGCAAAACATGATAATGGAAGCTAATTATAAGTAATTTGTAAATAAATTAACGAATGGCTTTTCAACAGCAAAAAAAAATGGTTCGAGTTTAACAGTTCAAATTGGCTCAAAAGTACGTCACGTGAAATTAAGGCAAAATAAACCCTCGCTTCCCCTTTTCGTCACTCATTTCCTTGACCGTTGGTATTGGATGTAACAGAACTCCTCCTGATCCCGCCTGATATGTGAAGTTACAAATCGACCTCACATCTTCACTATTACTATAGTCTGTATTAGAGAGGGTATAGTATAAGAGAGGACTGGCTGGTTTTGAGTCAAACGGACTGTCAAAGCCAGAGCCAATCGAGCAGCGCCTATCTTGCATTGGTATTGTTGCTAGAAACTACCTAGACATAGGTTGCAAAGGAAGTTTGTTCTGGATCCGCTCTTCTCTTATACTAGACCCTCTCTAGTGTAGTGGTTTTCTCATCAGCTGGTACAATTCGCGGATCATTTGCCTGCACCACGTTCCGCTTTCCATCGGCACTTCTAGTGCCAATCACCAACGAACATCGATTGCCATCCATTGATGACAATCAGGCAGCTCAACATCCATCAACACCCATCAACACACATGGGCCGGGACCAATGGCTTTACTTCCCTTCCGAAGGAAGACGTGATAAATTTGTATGCCTTAGAAAAATTGCCCCCGACTCCAGCAGGGATTGAACCCAGGCGCATTAGGGTGAGAAGCAGTCAAGTGTTAATTTGCGAGGACGAGCAAGCATTATCTAACCGGGAAATATAAGATTCTATTACAGGTTTCCATTAAAATAAAGCAGAATTTGTAGACGTTTCATTGCATGAACAGATTCTGCAACGATTATCGGAAGGATTTTTTAATAATTTTGTAATGTTTGCAATGTTCATATGTTGAATGTGCAGTTAAATATGTACGAAAGTATTAGTTCTGGAAAATATTGCTCGTACGCTACAGTCACTTGAGAGAACTGACGTTACATTTGCTGCAAGAAATAATGCAGATAATGTAAGAAATCCACCCTTGCATTTGATGTTCATGCCCTTTGTTTTGCGTGCTGTATCGACAAATCGACTTTGATGCCAATGTTTACAACATCTTGAAAATTCATCAGAGCATTGTATGCGGGCTTTATTTCATACCATCATATCTTGCTATCCAGCTAGACTGCGTGCAAGAACGTTCTTTCTACCACAAGGAGCGCTAGTGTTCGCCAATGCTTCACTATGTGGATTCGACGGATAAATTCTGTTCTGTGGCTGGTGGTTTGCATTCTCACAACTTACTCTTTCAGCTTTACAATACAGGATATGAGCGGTGCGGAAATTGGTCTCTAAAAATTCACATCAATACCCCATACAAAAATACAAATGTTTCGAATTCTTTTTTTATTATAATAATATTTTAATACAGTAGCAGATTGGTTAAACTAATACTTTGATGAATAATAATGAAGCAACTGTAATTCTAGAAATGTATACTATCATTAAATGCAGTGGTCAAGAATGGCAAGAAAAAAAAGATGAAGTAATTAAAGCCAATGGAGAAGATAGAGAAAGCTTACAAGTGCACTTAAATGGAACTACATTCTAAAATGGAACTATAATTCAGTTACGATGCAGCAGTTTCCATCTCAGAGAGAACTAGGTACGAATAGTGCGTGGTTCATTCCAGAAGAAGACAATAAGAAGTCATCCTCAAGAATATACTCGATTATTCTTGTGACGATTGGTGGTGACACAAGACATTGTCTATTGCTATGTAAGGAGGATTTCAAAAAGGCAGATTCTTAGGGCAGTACGGTACAGAGATTTGTTTACAATCGAGACATATGGTTGACATCATTGGATAAGATTTTGAATGTGTGGCTAGACATATGATTTTGGGTTATAGAACAGTACATTCGGCAATTCGGTCTCATCAAACTATTTCAATACAGCTTGAATTACAGGGAGAGATAGATAGTTGAAATTTATTCCGAGAGTTACGGTTTTTATTGGAGGATTTGCTCGACAAAATAGCTTGCAACACATGCAACATGCATAGAAACGAAACAAGAAAGTTTACAAGGTGCAGGAACTAAAAAAAAACGGTGTGTAGTACGTTAAAGGCTCCAAGTGTTATATGGGATGCTTCATTTTTTGTGCTTTGGGAAAGTAATGGCATTGAGAAAACCATCTTTTGTTACTACTTTAACTGCATTAGCGTTTACCTAGACAATGAGTTAATTTCTTCGCCACAGATTTTAAATACATATTGTGTCTTGATAAACTGTGAAAAGCTGATCCCGTAAAAGGTCTTTGTTTTTGATCGGTTTTTATTATATAAAATACTTGGAACATATTTTAGATACTCAAACTACTTCAAAAGTGTTGAAGCAAACCAATGAACAGATGTACTTAATGACACTTAATCGGTAAAATGGTGTACTTTCACGGTACCGATGCTCAAACAAAAAGAAACCTGGAGGATACTAAAACACATTGAGAAAAAGAAGTTAACATAAGTTGATAGCAATTATGATATGCAGTAGATCGGTCCAATATTGTCGTAAGCTCGACCAAACAAACGAAACTCTAAAGAACTCTTCAACAATTGTAACCAAGATTTTTAGCGGCATTCGAGCAGTTGTGCAAGTTTACGACATTATTCTTAGCACTCGTATAGAGAAGCAAGTACACACTGAAAGAATTTCAAAAAAACACTCTTGCAAAACGAACCAATCGGGAAGGCAACAGGAAGATTAGAACACGTAGTAGAGTGAACCACAGAACACGTAGAATCAAGGAAAATAGTTAACCAAATCATTGTTCGCAGACAATAGAGAATAGAGAAAATAACAAAGGCAACACAAAGTTGGCACCCGCAGTGGAAGCGGAAACTTACGAGGAGCCCTCGGAGCTAGAGATTGAATGTAAACTTCCGGCACGATAGGCCGCCGACTGTGGTGGAATCGGTGTCACTTCGACCGATCGTTGGATCGATCCGGCTGAGGATCGCTTGCGTTGCGATGTGGACGATGAAGATGATGGCGATATTCCTTGGTCTGTGAGTGATTTAGGCGTGTATTTACAATGTTTACAAACAGAATAACATTCAAAATAATATGGTATCGGTATTGCATATATCTTCAGGATGCTTTTGCATTTGGGATCCATGGCGAAACGAAACGTTAGCTCGGTGAAAGATTGATTCGGAATAGTTGGTTCGGCATTCTAACTTGTACAGTGTCTATGCATTTCAAGAGTTCTAGAGTTTATTGTGGTAAATCATAACGAGGAGCAGAGAACTCGGAACGGAGGGAAAGAAAATAAATTCAAACTAGCAGTGTCAAAGTATGGAAAAGCAGCATGTTTTTGAAACCCACGGGATCATGCGTACATGTCAGATTTGACATTCATCTTTTTGGTACGTCTTAAACCGTTTTAAGCCAGATTCTCACAGTCAAGTATCCGTAAAAAAAAATCTCTAAGATAAAACATTTGCTGAAACATTTATCTAGCTCAGCACTGTTACTTTTCCTGAGATCTAGAAAAAATTCCATCCCGAAAACTTTCTGGACTGGACCGGAAATCGAATCGCCTCCAGCATGGTCTTACTTTATAACTGCACCTTTACCGGCAGAGGTGCATAATGAATTGATTATAATGCCATTTTTTTTTGTTTAGTGGTATTGAGGTAAATACATATTCGAAGTCTGCATTAAAAATGGAACCATAAATAGCTCTGTGAAACTTTGCATGGGACCCAAGTAACCAATATAAGGCCAATATGTGATTAATATAAAGCTTAGTATGCCCTATATTAGCCGTGTATCAGCCTTATATTGCAATAAGGCGAATAAGCGGGCTTGTTGGTTACTTGCGGAGCGAGCTGTCAACTAATAGATTTTGTGTTAAAAATTAAAATTTAAATCTTGATTTAAAAATCGATATGTGAGATCGATAAAAAATAACGTTGTGATCAGAAAACAAAGCTCTTGCAGATGATGTATTAAAACCGGTATGATTTTTGAAATTCTGAGATTCTGAGGCTTGGTCATTGAAAGTTAACACAATATTCAAGATCCTAGATTAATTATCAAATCTTAAACTTGAACTTATGTTCAAGTATTTGAGCGTAAGAAAAATAATCAATATGACAAATTATTTTGATTTTAAGATTTCCAGATTTGCATAAAAAATAAGATTGTGTGCGTCGGAAAACTTGAAAGGTTTTGGGAATTTGAAGAAATTTCAGAATTTTGTCAATTCAACAAGCTTTCTAAAAAATTCTGATGATAGTTTCTGACAGAGAATTTTATGGAGATTTAGCAGCCACATCCAAATCCAGATTAAACCTAAACAGCCTTCCGAGGGAATTTTGAGCACTATTTCAATGGAATACTGCAAATATTTACATGATAATTCCGAGAAAAAACCAAGTGTTTTGTTGAAGAATTCCAATGTGAATTTTGATTTGAATGAAAAGGTGAATCTGAGATGATAATGCTCCAATAGAATTGTGAGGAGAATTTCACGGAGAATTCCAATGCAGTTCAGAGTAAAATGACAAAGATATCCTAAAGAAAACTCTTTTGAGATTGTTCGGATGATTGCATGCAAATTTTAATAAGAGTTCTAAGGGAATTCTGAAATTAATTATTATTCCAAGGGAATTCAACAAAGAGCTTCAAAAAAATTGCTGAATAAACTCCAAGAGAATCGTATTCTTCTTTTCTGAAATTGAAACAAGCTCTCCTGCAGGAGAGTTTGAAGAAAATTCAGATGATGTCAAGGGCATTCGGTGGAGTTCCAAAAATCATAGGAGAGATCCAAGGTAATTCAAAGGGAGTTCAGTAGTGGTAAGCATCCATGCTAACGGTCACGAGTTCAAAACTCATCCCCAGATAAGTAACGAATGTCCTAAGGTGCAAAAAAAGGGAATTACAAAAAGAATATCAAGGAATTTCAGTAAGTAGGTACTCCAATGAAATGCTGATCAGAATTCCATGTGTATTTCTAAAAGATTGGCTATATAGATTCTTAGCAATATTCCACGGCAATGCAGAAGTTGATGTCCATGAGAATTATCAGAAGAATTGCTAATGAGTATTAGTTTTATAAAGTGAACGCATATTTTCAGCCACAACAACTATTGATGTATTCACCATGTGTAAAATCTGTCCATGACGAATAAAAAAGAAGTCAGGGACGACCCCAGGGTAATGGTTTAGCTCCATACCTCTTACGCCATAGTCACGAGGTCACAAAACATACAACGAAGAAACTGGACCGCAACAGTTGTCCTTGCTCTAGAAAACTTTACTTTGCATCTGTCTTATCAAATTTTAAAACAAGCAATAACTGAGCTCATTCAATGGATTTACATATGACTTCATTGAGCTTTTTCACTGTTCCATCATTCATCTTCACATTTCAGGATTGATGAAGAATTTCTTGGATGCTTTTTCCAAGATCTTAGAATCACCTGAAGTATGAATCTCTTCCCCGGATAAGTCACGAATGACCTAAAACGTGATAAAGTGGTGAGATCTGGCCCTTTTTACCAATAGAAATTCTAACAAAAGTACTCATGTGATGTGAGGTAAATAAAAGATTAATTTTCATGTGATTTGAGGTATCACATGATGCATATTTCTGGAACCGGATGACTGATTCCAAAACATCAGAAAAGTTTTATGAGACTACAATACCTTTTATTTAATGGTTGTTGCGTCCAATTCGGTTCTGTGGTTGCCGAGAGACACGGCTTAGTTCCCAAAATCCGTGTTTCTCGGATTTCGTTCCATCTATATCTCCGGAACCAGATGTCTGATTCCAAAAATATTGCAATATGTTATATGGTACTACAATACCTTTAATTTGGTGGTGGTTGCGTCTAATTCGGGTCTGTGGTCAATCTAAGTCGATTGGTATATGATACTCGGTCCTCCAAACCTCGGATCGAAAGTCAGTTTGTCCAAGCGGCATGTATACCCTTCTTTGGACCTGAACCTGAATTTATCCACCTATGGTGAGATCTAAATGAAATTTTCAGCATCTGGTGGTATCCTGAACATGATCGGATGTGTCCACTGTAGTCCTGAGCACTTGGTATGGCTGTCATTGGTCTTATTTTTTTTTTAATTCTGTTGTTATTCTATGTGTTGCGTGATGTGTTTTGGTCCTAATCAAGAACTGACCTATCCCTCGAGAGTACCCGGAATATGACCGGATGTAGCCAATGTGGTCCAAAGCTCTCGGTTTGGCTGTCATTGATCTTGATGTTGAGTTCTGATGTAATTTGACATGATTGGTTTTGGTAATAACCATAAGCTGGCCACTTTCTCGGGGTAAAAATATTCCAGAATTCAAGCGCTTCCCTTACTCTCGCAGAGATGAAAGATAGAACTAGTCGGTAAATATGAAAACACAGTTAAAAAAAAAGTCATAGAAAAAATTTCATCATCGTAAAAGCAAATTTTTATTTTAAGACCCTTCATCATGCTATGAATATGGAAAATGCATATCGTAGCTTTAAATTTACCCAAAATAACAGAGTGTATTGAATGTGTATACAAAAAAGTGCAAAATAAAAAACGAAATAGACAGCAATAACAAAGAACTGTAGAATTAGATTGAAGTGAAAAAAAAAGAACTTCAGATTGAAAGCTGTTAAATAGTAGTGTTGAATATGTGATATGTGTATATGTGGCTAACCGATTAAATCGAAAACAAGAACAAAATCTACCTCATGACATTCCATTCCAATTACGTAAACCACTCGCATCTATAAAGCACCCTATTTACGAAACGGTACTACACTCCTTGCAATACAATTTTATTTCTTTTTGATTTATTTTCAGCTGAAACTCTATGTCTCCCCGTAAATTGTTTCAATATCCATTGATTTGTACCTGCCACGTATGCTAGTGATCTATCTCTGAGACTGATGGAATTGAATCGTCGTTGTAATGGGAAACCCCACGGGAAATTAGATCGTACAAACTGATGAATGACTACGGAACCAACTACAGCAACAGTTACAGGAAGATGATTTTAACACAAAAAATTAAACTCTATTACTAGTGTACACGGTTGACGTTTGTGATACTAGAAAATGTCAAACAGAGCGAGAACTAAACAATGATGAAACGGAAAATAAGAATGAAAGAGAACGGAAAAACAGAAAACTTGGAGCGAACCTGTCACCGTCTGCGCTTCCTTCACCATCGCTAGACGCTGAAGAACCGCGCGATAGGCCTCCGCGAACTTCCCCTGGTAACACTTCTTCGCTTCGGTGCACGGTAAAGGAGTTCTTGCCGCGCTTACCAAACCCCATTCGACGCTTACGACCTTTTTCATATGTTGAATGAAATTGATTATCAAAATATTATCAGTTCAAGGGGTGTCATGAAGGGATTCTTGTACATCGATGCGACACATGGAGCTAATCTCTTGCCTTACTTTTTTTTTTACTGTTACATTTTTATCGTTTAGGAACCGATTATATTAAATAAACGCCAATTTTTATTTTTTCGATGCCTCTCTCTTTGTGCGCTAGACGCACATAATCTCTCATGATTTCATACTTATCATAAATGAACGTAAAAGTAATCAAAAACCGAAAACAACACTTTTTTGATATACTTTTAAGCAAGTTACCTGTTGCCGACAGTTGCGATGTGGAGCTACTTTTCTTTCCCATACCCGTACCGAAGCGATCTCGGTCCCTCGTTGGGGTCTCACTCTTGGGCGATCGTTGATCTAGCTTGCGCCGCGAGTCCAAGCTTTGTATCACGGCCGTGTCACTTAAGCTACCGTCTGAAAAAAAGTTAAACAAACAATGATTTATAGTTCAGTTCATCGTGGAAATTATGTCTCATTTGCTGGCTAACCCAAATAAAAATCCAATACATTCCAAGCTCCTACTTATCATTATTATATGTTAGGATGAAACGGCAGAACAATGTTTTTTTTTTTTTGGTTCCATTTACGGTCCCAAACAACAGTGCAAAATTTGGGGACGATTGGTTGTAACACGGCTTTCCGCATTGCGTTTGAAATTAGTATGGGGAAAGCTACTTTTTTGCATCTTATCATGCATCTAATCATGTAAAATATAGCCCAGAAAGTGCCTAACAACTTTGCCCAAGGATGTATGGTGCTAGAATGCCTCCAAAAAATGTTATAGCTGTTCAAAGATCAATGTTTCAATTAAATACCAAAAATTACTTTTCTTGCGAACACTGCCGGTTTACCAATGAAAGACAGATTCCCAGCTTAAATAATTTCGAAGCTGATTATCTTATCGATTTGGTATGTTTGGAATATGTCCGGATGTGGCCAAAGCGGTTCTTGGAACTAAACTTGAGTTCCATTGAGCAGGTCATTGAATTTTCATGTAATTTGATGTGTCGCATGATGGGTTTTACCATAATCAGATATTGGCTTCTTCCCCCGAAACACCCGAAATATGTCCGGATATGGTCAAAGCGGTTCTTCGAACTAAATTTGAGTTGATGAATTATTCAAAAACAATAGATCTACCCATATGCGCCACATCGTTGACAACCATCAAGGAAGTAACTTGTTGTATCTGTATCATTACTCCACTCGTTTGCCGGTTTTCGCATGAAGTCGGTCGACATTTCTAAAAGGAATTAGCACTGTCAGAAATGACGTTTGAGTTGGGAGCCCAACTAAAACGTAGCCCACTTAAAGATAGCCCAACGAGCAAAATCCGACTGTGAATTAATGAAAATAAATGATTGGCGTTTTACTTCGTCCTCGTCATTCATTGTAGCATTTAAGAACTTCTCCTAGAATTTTTAAACCAGAATGAATAATGTCAAACTGGGGACTGTTTTAAAGCCACGTAGCCTTTAATGGAGAAGGAGAGTCCAGCCAAAGATACGCCCGGTGAAAATATTTTAAAATTTTAGACAAGTATACGAGGGGAAGGTAGGATCTGCAATGTCTAAAACTTGGTCTACGTGGTTTATAGACAGACTGTGACTCGATTGAGCCGCATTGTGAACTACCTTGCGTCTTCCTCGTTTCCATGCACGTGTGATGAATACATTGCGGAACAATGATTTTTTATTTAAAAAAAAATTGTTTCTCCAAAACAACTTCTCCGACATCGTTAATGTTTATAATGATCTCTCTATTAAAAATACTAAATGAAGAAGTTGTTGAACCCTCGGTTCAATCTCGGCGGAGGTCGGTGGGATTTTTCTGAGGCATAAGCATCTCTGGTCACGTCTTCCTTAGGAAGGGAAGTAAAGCCGTTGGTCCCGGCCCAACCCTCGCCGGCGAAAATCAAGAAAATCATTTATAACGTATTTTTTTCATACAAAATCAAATATCTCTGAATGTTTCATGATTTCCGTTAAAATTAAATTAAAACATCTGCCATTTGAAGGGTCAAAAATCGGTCAAGAGTTTCAGAAGCTATGAATGTTTGAAAAAAGGCTTTTATGTTTGGTTTTTGTTATTAACCTACTAAGGTACTGTTTCTTTAAAGCATTGAATTTGAAAGTGCAAAATTGCTAAAATGTGAAAATGGTGAATTTACGTCACTTTGTCATCACTTTGCAGAGCAGCGATCAGCATTTAGGGCAGCCAAAAAAAACAGTGTCTTCAAAATAGAAAATCCTGGAGTGACTTGTTTCCATACAGCAGACCGACTCCTCATCACTGTTCAGAACGTTTGGAAAGGAGGAGCAGACAACATTATAGGACTTCAAAAGCTCGACAAACATGTCCCCAAAATTACCAGTATTTTTAAAAGAACAATCATTTTACGTAAATTGTTATTCGATGGAAAATAAATCGTTCAATTATTGGAGTTGGCCAGCAAATCGTAGCAAATTAAATCATTAAAATTAAATAAACCACTCACCTATTTTATCCTCAGGCGTTCCCTCGTTATTCGAAAGACTACGGTCCAGTTCAGCACGCTCCCGCGATTCTCGCCGACCGTCACTCAGACGGTCCCGCTCATGGTCACTACTGTTTCGGTCACGATCACGCTGTCGATAGGCATCCCCTCGTCCACCGTTAGGGCCGTACCGACTCCGGTCTCTCATATCGTAATCACTTTTATGGTGATGGGACGAATTTCGTGACGATTTCGGAAGCGTTGATGACGCAGACGGTTTTGAAGCAGGGGAGCCACCCGACGATGGTTTTTTCAACGAGGTTCGTTTTGGTTCGGTTTGTAGAAGGGCGATACCATTGGAGGATTTGGAACGAATGGAAGCATTATTAGCATTTCTAGCACTATACTTGGTGCGGGGTGAAGGAGATTTACTATATTCAAAGTACTCTGGCTTTTCATTAATACTGACTGAACTGTGTCGAGTGGTATCGTTCTTACTACCGCTACTATTACCATCTTTGTGTTGAGAAACGAACTTCTTCAAGTCTTCCAAACTGGAAGTTCGGCGGGTATTAAATCGAGCCTTGCGTCTAGTTGAAGATTTACCATTGAAAGAGGAATTTCTTCCCCTAGAAAAGGGACTTTCAAACACATCATCGTCGGAACAATCCTCTTCACTGTCATCTTGACGATTTTCATCATTGGAAACCACGCTTGAGCTTCGTGTTGGGCATTTTCTGAACAGTTCTTTGGACGGATCGTTCCTATTGCAGCCTGCTACTTTTCTGTTACTACTATGAATACGTTCAGGTTCATACCCTACTGCTCTCTCTTGTTCGTATTTTCCGAAATCCAGTCTACGGTTCAATTTATCCTCCTTTATGATGTAATGTTTACGACCTTCTATGAATTCATATTTATCGTACTGTTCATTCGTTCTTCTAATGTGATTAATTTCTCCATCACTAAATGAGTGGCTTCGGTTTAAAAATGTTGGGCTTTCATCACTCAAGTACTTCATATTTTTCGGTTTCTGCAACAACTCGAGCCGCACCTCTTCGATGATCGATTTGATTGATTCAGAGCTGCTATACAGCACGCCGGTTTCACCTTTGATTTCATCTATTCTAGATTTGCTATCTGTTTTCTCCTTGGATGCTTTCACTTCCTTGGGATCGATTTCTTTGAATTTTGGCTTTGCTGCGGCTTTAGTAGTTTTCGTAGTAGTTGCGTTGGAAGATGAGGCTTTCGACTTGGCAGATCCAGAGCGATTCAATGAAGTTGAACTAGATGACTTTTTTGACACTTTAGAGCTCTTCTTGGCAGGAGAGGCCGAAGATTTGGATTTCACGAGTGATTTTGATATCTTCTCTTCGCTTTTCTTACTCTCGTGAGACTTTTCTTGCTTCTTCTTCTTAACATTTTGAACAGCTTTTTCCGGATTTCGTTCTGACTTCTGACCGCCCGCAACATCAGTGTTTTTAATAATATCAAGCGTCATATTGCTCTTATCTAAACTTGATTTAGATCCAAACGTATCAGAGTGGGTGTCGACATATTTTTCATCTTGTAATCCGTTTTCATCTAGCGATCTGGTTCTTTTTCGATAAATTTTCTCTTCAATACTGCTGGAAAATACATTTTTTCGAACGCTTTTTGTCTTATACCCAGTATCCGAGTCATAATCGATATCAATTATTTTATCTCTAGCAGCTAGTGAATGAGAACGACTTATTTGATCTCTTTGTGTTGACACTGTGTTTCCCAAATAGGTCTCCTTGAATCCTATTTCAGTACGTCCATAGAACGGTGTTTTATTCGGTAATTTCGGTAATACGGCGGGCTTTCCAAGCACAACGCCCATATCGTTCTCTAAATCACTCACATAGTAATCATCCTCCACGCGAGCACTGGCCGTCGGTACAATTCCTTTAGAATTTAAAGACGCAACCATCGCCGGATTGGTGTACGGATGGATAGGATGTAAATCAGCAAGACTTCCGATTGAAGAGCGAAATTGAAGATCTGGAGCTGAAAATTCACACACCCTGCCACCTTGGGTACTGGAATAGCGAATATTACTATCACCCAAATTCTCAGTACTGTTTCGAATGCATGTGATGGTTTGATTCTTAACTCCCGTATTAGGATCGTACACATTTGAGATGCAAATATTTCCCGGCTGATGGTCGTTTTGTTCGTAAACAAAACTATTCGGCATATTCTGATCCGAAAATGAGGATTTCAGTATTATCTGATTAGTTGCTGGAGTGACTTGCTGATTATTTACAGGTCTGTACAGGTTTGAAATGCAAATAGATTCATTTTGCTGATTAGTTGGATCTCTGGACATGCGACGGACAATATTCATAGTGTTTAAACTAGGTTCAGATGTGTTTGAACGAGTAATGTACGAAGGTCGTCGCCTTTGGAGACAATCAGCTGGTACTTGGTTGTTGTAGAAAGAATCGCCTTGTAATGACATAGCCATCGTATTGGCACCGTATTCCAAATAATTACCACACGGAAGCGATCCTGTCTTCAGCTCTACTGAGGATGGTTCTGTCGACGACATGTTTGAAAGATTCAAAGAAGTGGTCATTACATTATCGTTACCAGGATTAACAACAAAGCTCTGAAATGTGCTTTTATCTTGATTAAGCGTAATGCATTGCTTGCTATAATAGCTATTACTTGGAGGCTGAGGGACAGGAAATTGTTCGAAGGTTGAAACAGCAGGACTTGGAACAAGCCTATTATCTTCAGTAGCCGAGGGAACAACAACACTAGTAGTGGGAATTACAGGGAGCCTAGGGGGCATCTCGGTAAGTACTGGGAGGTACTCGCAAGGAGGGGCAAAGCCTTGATCAGGTACACCATCGAGGTTAGGAGGACTTAGACCAGATTGTGTAACATCGGGAAGTGTTGTATTTTGTTCCGCCTCGCTGACTGGCTGCCCAAATGGGTACTTGCTTGGAAGAGCGCACATGGAAGCCGTCGCCCAACCCGATGGGAGACTTCTATGCTGAAGACGCCTGTCATGCGCATTCCTTCCAATTCGAAAATGATTAGTCAGTATCGATGCATTTAATTGTTAATTTTGAATACATAGAAACATTATAAAATTACCTTATCCCTTTTGATGCACGCGGTCGCTCCGACTGAGTTGAAAAAGCACTTGAAGTTACACTAACTACCGACTCCATATCGGAATCGGCAAAATCACCCATAAATTCCTTATCCGGAGATAACGAGTGTCTAGGTCTAATTCTACTGTCTAATGAGTGTGTCGGCAGATCACTGTCGGAAAGTCCGGTATAGCGTTGTTCCCATCCTGAATTAAAATCGACTGACAATCTCAATACGCGCTAGTTAACTTATTAGAATTCAGCAAAGAATTACCTCCCATCCCCGTACTCCGATACGTTGGCAGATGATGACTTTGGCGGTGTCGGTACCGGGAAAAACGTCCTCCACTGCGCTCCTCGAATTCCTGTCCGAACCGCTCTCGCATTGCTGCATTTCGTGACACGTGAGGTACTTGTGGTAATTGTCGTTTCTTCGGTGAACCAGTTGGTGTCGCAGTCGCTGATCGTGATTGAAATCTTGGCGCATACTGGTGTAATGGAAGAACTGGATATTCGGTATATCTATCATCTTGTGGCGATAGGGAATCCCGACGATCATCTCGGTAGCTATCACTCGGTGCCGCAGATTGACTCCGTTGGTTCAGTGCCATCGTGCCGTTCCGACGGTAGGAAGCGGATGCCTGCGCCAAGGAATATAAGTTGTCAAATGAGTGTTACATGAAATTGGTTGCTGCAAATTAAAACACACATATAAAAACAAGGACTAAATATCCTAATTATTTTTTTATTTTAATATTTAAAGTTATATTTTGATCGGAAGTATTTGGATGTCCGTTTCAACCACTCAAGGGAGCCCTGACCAGTTCCGATTTGTATGAAAATTTGCACAATTGTGTGTTATGGGCAATCATTCACATTTTTGCGTAAATCGGTTATTTTGGATCTTGTATTTTTTTTTTCGAAATTGCTTCTTTGATGTTTTTCAATAAAGTGTAGCACTTAAACGTCACTTCTGATCGAAATGACGTCTGAGACAAAGTTGTTGAGAACAGTAAAGTCGTTCTGAAAAAAAATACAATAATTTTGTTTGGCAATTTCGCGTAAAAATTCCAAAAATTGTTAAGAACTAATATATAACGAAAAGTAAATCTTCATTAATTATCATTTATTCACTAAATAAAGCTCATGAAAAATGCAAACTTTTGAATTATTTAAAACTTTTTACACATGAAAATTGTAAAACATCAACTTTTGGACATATTTTTAAACTTTTTACAACAGTTTTTTATGTAATTTTACAACAGACAACGATAGGAAATGTCTCTAATATTTTTTCCTGTTTTAAATTACATTAAAATGTGAACAAGTAAAAAATTCAAAAATGGTTCTAAATGTTTCAAAGGTTGGCATTTTTCATCAACTTTTTTTACAAAAATATTAAAATTGAAGATATAACTTTTGAGATATATGAGTTCTTAACACTTCCCTGGATTTGTTTAGTAAGACTATATTTTTTCTCTACAACTCTATCCCAGACGTCATTTCGATAACAATTGATGTTTTCGTACTATAATTTATTGAACAATGACAGAAACCGTTTTGAAAATATTTCAACTTCCATAACGCCAAAAATTTTTAAAAATGTGAATGATTGCCCATAACACACAATTATGCAAAATTTTATGCAAATCGTAGGAGCTCGAGTTTATCCGATTTGGCATTTGGCGTCGACCTGCTCCCGTGGTTTTTTAACCCTTTATCTTCTTCCTGGATTTTGATGCTTCGTATACGAGCATTTTGTCTGCTTTCAACCTAGTGTTCACTTATGCACATCCACAGTTAAAGGGTGTATTCGATAAAAATTGCACATCGAAAATCTTCTGTGACTTTTAAACCTTGTGAAAATTTCATGGGTGGAATGAAAAGAAAGGATTGGGCATTCGGGATGGGAGATGAAATTGAATAAAACAAATTTTGTTAATCATAACTCCCTATAAATTTCAAGAAAACCCGAAAATCGGTTCATTTTGGTGAGTAAATATGTGTGTGCATTTGCTTATTTGTTTATTTGAATTTTAAACTTCAACTGACAATTATTGTCTAAATAAAGGCCAAGTAACCGATGACGAAACACGTCAGCTGATACATTGAAGTCGAAAATATATAAAAAGTTGTTGATTGCTCGATTGCTGATTGCTCGAATTGGCTCGTGTTGTGTATAATTTCGGCGCCGTGGTTCCAAAAACAGAAAGTCGTGTTGACGAAGAGGCCTCTCAGGGGCATACATATTTAGCTGAGCCAGCAGTGTTGGACAGTCAATGTCACCCGTAAGCAGCTTTCCAGCGAACATAGCTTGAGCGACCGTCCGTCTCACCTCTAATGGTTCGATTCCCAGGAGACGGCAACGCTCCTCGTACGGTGGCAAGTTTATTGGGTCACGCTAGTTGAGGAAACGAAGAGCATATCTCACAAACTTGCGTTGAACGGATTCAATTCTAGTGATCCAGCTAGCATAGAAAGGGCACCAAACAACAAAACTTGACTCCAATAAGGATCGCACAAGCGAGCAGTAGGGTGACCTGAGGCATAGCGGGTCACGGAACTCCTCGGCAATTTTGAAAATAAAGTCCAATTGTCGATTAGCTCTGGACTGGAGATGATGCCATTGTAGTGGATTCTGAAAGTGAGTCTGCAGTCCAAGGTAACGCCGAGATCCTTTATGTGCTCTACACGAGGAAGACAGCGTCCGTAGAGAACATAGTCAAACATGATTGGTTCGATTTTTCGGTGATAGGAAATAATGTTACATTTTTTGATGCTTAGACTCATCAAATTTCTTGAGCACCAATCAGCAAATACACCTAACATATTCTGGAGATCCCAAAAGTCCGATAGACTTTTGATAATTTTGTAGATTTTCGTATCGTCTGCATAGAAAACGCGGGATCCTGATGGTATCAGAAAGGCGACGTTGTTTAGAAAGATCGAAAACAGTAGCGGTCCTATGTTACTGCCTTGTGGAATTCCCGAGTTGTTTGAGAAAACATCCGATTCCAAAGCGCCAATCTTAATCCGTACATAGCGATTCACCAATTAAGATCTGAACCAATCCACAGCCGTTGACTAGACGCCAAGTATCTCCAGCTTGGCAAGCAAGATATTATGGTCCACCGTGTCAAATGCAGTTTTTAGATCCATATACACATCATCATCTTGCCATCGTATAACGGCGCCGGTGGTGTAGTGGTAAGCGTGATTACCTCTCACCCCAGCAGGCCTGGGTTCAATCCCAGTCGGCGCCGCCGGGATGTTCTGAGGCATAACATCTCTGATCACGCCTTCCTTCGGATGGGAAGTAAAGCCGTTGGTCCCCGGTTCATGAGTTGATCGGTCGATAGGTAGGGTCCAGGTGTGGGAGCTGCCTTCCTGGCACGTCGGTAGCATTGGTGCTCAGCACGCAAAACAAGATCGACGGAAAAAACAAACCAAAGGAAAAAAAAAAAATCTTGCCATCGTGAATCCATGCATCGCAAACAGTTAAAAGTAAACTGCACCAGGTTTGTGGACACGGAGCGCTTCGGGTAAAAGCCGTGTTGTTCTGTATCGATATAATTTTTGCAACACGCGAACAGAGCATCATTTATGATAATCTCGAACAATTTCAGCACACACACAGGGAGGTGATCCCACAATAATTTGCGACATTCCGTTTATCTCCTTTTTTGTAGACTAGGAACCAATGTTGGCAAAATCAGAAATCAATTGATATTGTTCCGCTTTCATGCGCTCACAATATCACGCGTGATATTGGAACAAAATATCATGCTTGATATTGATTTTACAAGCTCCTTTGATATTGCGAGACTATTCAGAACGTGCAAAAATCAAGCTAAGAGTTGACTCGACACAAAAATGACTCCATTGCACATCATTTTCTTAGAAAGAGAAAGCATAGTTTGCTATCTCTTTTTAATCAAAGCCGATGGCAGACGCGAAGAGACTGCTGCAAGCCGTTATGGAAGTTTCGGTTGCATTCGGGAGTAAAGCAAAAATCATTAAACTCAATCTCACCACAGTTTGGTGAGATTTGCAGTTGGTGAGTTTTGTTAGCTTGATATTCCGAGCTGCGATATCACAGCTTGCAAAATCAACCGCAGTTTTTTGCTTGTTGATTTTTGTCTACAAAAATCAAGCGTGATCTTGGAAGTTGGTAAGATTTGATTTTTTAATATTTTCCCAACACTGCTAGGAACAGACAAGAAAGTTTGCAGCGGTGTATCAAATTCACCCTGTATTAATTAAGAACTTTATATGCACGAATTTGTATATTGTGAAGCAAACACAATAATACTCAATGCGCTGGGAAGTCGAGAAAATGTCCAACCCTAAAGATGTTGTAACCTGGAACAAGAATCGAACCTTCTGACTTGGTAGTACTATGCCTTAGCTGACTAGGCTACCGATTAACCACACCTATTTTATATTCCTTTCCGAATTGACAACCAATCGACACAGTAAAAACCCTTTTTAAGTTTAACATTTAACTTACGGTAGCAAAAATAAGATAAATTAATAAACATAAAAAGTATCCGTTCGATTTTGGCAACAAGACCTCAATATTTTTAAATTGCTTGTGCTCTGAAAGTGGTGGCACGAGTACTGGATTTTAACATTGTTTCCATAACATTTGATACTTTTCACAATGACCATAGTGAAGACACACAAATACAAACTGGCAAGCGGCATAAGTTTCTTGCAATTTCTGAACTGAACAATTTCGCACAAAGAATGTTGCTGGATTGCATACACGCAGAAAAAACTATCGCCGAAACAAAAATAGTTGAGGTAAATTTAAACGTAAACTCAGTTTGTTCTGGCCACAAACATAAATTAGGTTGATTTCAAACGTATTCCATGTTTGAAGTCATGTGAAATCAATGTTTAAAATAAAAATAATGTTACGTTTATTTCAAAAATATTCGTGTTGAAAATAAACGTATTTATTTTTGTTTGGTTTGACAGCTATGCGAACAATAATAAATATGTTTATTTTAAACATGCTTCTCATGTTTAAAATAAACATACATAATTTTAAATTATTTTAGTAGTTGAGTGCAGGGTAAAGCAAAATAAAACGATTTGCAAAGAAATGAAAAAAAAAGATCTTCGGGTGCGATTCAGGGTGACCTGTGGGTATTGGGGATGCGAGGACCCGTCGGTGTGGGTGTCCGGGGGTTCCAGTTCAGTGGAACCGGGGCAAATTTGTGTTATTAGCGTCGTTTTGCCGTTTCTGCCTCGGTTTCTGCCATTGGTCGTCATACCGGTTCGGTGTCGAAGGAGGATCCGGAATGGATTCGGAATGGACGGCCGTTTTCTGTTAAGGTTGAGCAAAGCTGGGGCAACTTTTTCCGAATGTAACAAGAAGGAAATAAAAAGGCATGACACGCTAAAAACCGTTTACCCAAATCCTATATTGTTGAAATAAACATGCTTTTGGATTTAATTCAAACATATATATTTTCGTTTTAAACATGCTTTCAATTTACTTTGAATAATTCAGATGTTTATGGTATAAACATTTATATTTTTGTTTTAAATGAACAAAATTTGTATCCGTGTACAAACCACTCAGAAGCATAGATGTTAAAATTATGCGTAAATAAGGGAGTTGATGCTAGCTTGCACCTAAAATTTAATCACATTAAACTGTTTGAAAAAGAACGGGCTGCGACATTTTTCCTATTTTCTATCTATATTTTTCTTCTTTCCTTTATTTAACGTCGGTCTCTGTTCCGCAATCTAGTGCCAATCACCGACGGACATCGATTGCCATCCATTGACGGCAACCGAATGTGCAGGAAGGCAGCTTCCAAACCTGCGTAGGATATCACACCCATTCACAAACACACATGGGCCGGGACCAACGGCTTTACTTCCCTTCCGAAGGAAGACGTGACCAGAGATTTTTATGCCTCAGAAAAATCCCACCGACCTCGGCTGGGATTGAACCCAGAACCATTGGGGTGTTAGAAAGCAGTCACGCTTACCACTACACCACCGGCGCCGGCTATCTATATTTTTCTAAAATTGTCAGTTCTCCACCGCAAGTGAGGTTACAGTGGTCGCCTCGTGTGAGGTGACTCTTCATTTGATTTACACGGAGAGTCACCTATCCGGTGGCGGAGAGACGTTCGACTTGCGGAATAGGCCTGCTAATAATAATTTTTGAATTTATTAAAAATTAAGGAAAGCTAAGAAATTAGCATTGTGTTGCCTCAATCAAACGGGTACTGTATTATGGTATTGCCGATCTTAAATGCAAAGGGAAGCGATTTGAATGGGAAGAGTAGTTAACATTTCGTGAATTTACGGCGGGCTCTTCTCCCCACTGATTGGGACGTCCCCTCGATCGCTTTTCATTGGAATGGAAATACTCTTGATCCCTCGGATTGCGCGTAAGTGTCTCTGTGTACGGGTACGCCTATCCGTTTTTGGCCCTTCATACAGTGTTGATTTGAATAGAGGCAGGTGTCAAACTAAATCAAGTCATACTTGTAGAACGATCCACTGTCTGTCTGCAACTTTCTGCTAACCATCTCTCTTTGGTGAGAAGAACAGCACAATTTTCGACCATCAATTGAAAAGAGCCTATCAACTTCTGTAAACAAAACTTGTAATGCCCTTTTCGCGCAAACCGAAGCTCGCATACGCGAAGTAAGTGTTTACAAAAGCTGATAGGCCATTTCCAATTAATGTTAGGGAATTGTGCTTCCATATCATTGCAGGATCTATCCATATCCACCACAGAGCACCGCCATTATCATCTCGATACATTAGGCAAATATTTGTTTGCTTATAAACAAAAAGAAATTAAAACAAACTGCTGCACGATGCGCAGAACAACAGTTATTGAAAACAATGTATTTCTACAGTGAAGCAACATTCGAAATCTTAATCTCGGTGTCTCACCCCAGTGAATCAGTACACTTCTCTGCGGTGATTTTCACTGATAAATCAAGCGCTCCGTCTCTCGAAGCTAGTGTTGATGTGAATGCACGAGAGAGCGGTTGTATCGCACTCGAGTGAGGTGAGTTGTATACGTGAGTGCAGTGCACTGGGGAGAATAGCAATTTGTGGTTCTGAACGCTAGAATAATTATAAATCATTGATATTAATTGACATATTCTACTTAAAATATATAATTTTCAGTCCCCATAATCGATAACCCATTAAATCGAGTCTGATTTGTAATATTTCTTAACTAATATTTCATGAAATTCAGTTATGAAAATAATCATCATCCTAAGCAATTTGTAGTCCTACCCCATCGATCATAACTTTGTTCTAAAGCTGAGCAATGTTATGACATGCCTAGTTCGTCTGTTATTATTGGATTCAAATTCCCGAGGAAACGATAATGTTCATCAATATAGCAGAATAAGCCCGATTCCATTAACTTAAGCTACTGGCAGTGCGTCCATAGATGGAATAAATTATTTCTTCTCAAATTCATCGGCACTAATTAATTAAAATTTGTTCAAATTTTTACTTCTGTGTACGATTATATTTCATAATCATCGATTTGGAATCTAATAATCCTCAAATCTTGCAGTTTGACTTCAATTATAAGATTGACATCTTGAAATTACACACCTTTATTAACTTTGACAAAACTTTTCATTTTCCTGCTAAGAACATTCGCTTCTGGATGGGTTATCAGTGGTTTGTCAGTGTTTTCAACAGTAGCCTTAATTCAAAATTATTTTAATTTTTGACATGCGCAAGAAACGAGCACTATTATGCTATTGTATGTAGATAAAGTTTGATTGATATCGCCCGTAAAAAAAATGAGTATGAGTCGTTTGAGAGAAAATTGGAAGGAATCTGATAAATCGTTTTAAATGAATGGACCTCACTTTGACCAGTCATTTCAATAAACTTTCCTTGAATTACTACGCTTCCCTACGCTTTGAAGTTCTCTTAAAGAGAAAAACTAATTTTTCCATCAAATCTAGAATATCTGATAAATAATTTTTAATCAATGTACATATATCAAAATTAATGTTGAGTTATTTGATACGTCATATAGGATTGACCTCATGGGTCTGCTTCCTGGCTTTTATCATACATTATCTCTATCGTGAGGTGGCCCTAAATAGAATGTCTTATAAACCTACGTTATAGTTAAACTAGCAACTACCGTGAAATAGAGTAAAATTACTTTTAATTATCAATTAAATTGTTGGTATTAAAATAATCAATAATGTAATCATATCCAATTTTTCATCATGAAGCTTTGACACGGCTTTCTACAAGTGGTTCGAACATGAAGTCAAAATATTTAGATTTCGAGGTGGCGCAAACGTCTTGAAGATGGAGTTTTTACTTTTAAGAAATTACTTTTTCTAAAATCATCGTAACTCTTTCATGAACTTTTGAATTGAATGTAGAAAACTATATCTGTCTAATTCTGCACCAAGAATGAGTTTAACGTGGATTTTTTATACCAAAGGTAATTAATTGCATAAAATTCAAGCATTTAGGACATACTGCAGTCTTCAGCGGCAACAAGCCACGCTGAGATCTGTGTAGAGAGAAGCATACGGAGGGTTTTTCTTTTGTGCCACTTCAAAATGACCTTATTGTTTGGAAATTCCACATGTTCTCGCTGATTGTTCAAGATACAAACAACAGGGAGAAAAACTACAACAGTCATTGTATTACGAGATGAACTAGCTAAAAATCTCAAAAATAAAGTTAAAAAAACAGTCTTTGGCATATGTGGCTCGCTTAGCATATATGACCTTCTCCCAGTTGATGATCAGGGCTCTGACCCTAATGTTGGCGATGGCAGTCGTCTTGAAGAAATAAGGAAGAAGCGGTAATGTTCCGAAAGCTCCTCTATCGGGATACAAATAATTTGATTTTGAATAATTTGATTTTGACTGACTCCATGATGGACATCATCGGTTTGATAATTCCAATGCTGAAAACTTTTTTGAAGCAACTATATTCTAAGTGTTTTCCGCTCATCGACGTTTGAGAATGTAGTAGTGTTCGCTGTTCTTTCATCGTTGTTCCATCCCAAGCCCCTTTTGTGTGTTTTGTTGTTTTGCCATCGACCATCAGTCCTCTCAAGAGAAATCCAGAACACTTGCCCGTCACCGCAATGGATCTCTAACGCAATGGATCTCTAACGCAATGGATCTCTAACGCAATGGATCTCTAACGCAATGGATCTCTAACGCAATGGATCAATCGTCGAAAAACAGCAATACAACGGCGATGGAGATAAATCAAGCCGAACAATGGATATCAAGCTGAACATTGCATTAGGTCCTAAGTAACATTGACAGATTCTCTTCGTCGACTTTCTCTTTGCATCCCCGCGGCCATGTGAAGACATTCCCAGGTATTTTTAGCCCACAGATTGATAAAAGAAGCTTTTATCTATCATCTTATACGACAAACACATCAAGAAACGGTTCTTTGCTCAAGTTATTAACGAAAGAGAAAGTCGACGAAGAGAATCTATCAATGTTACTTAGGACCTAATGCAATGTTCAGCTTGATATGGTCTCAAGTAACATTGACCGATTCTCTTCGTCGATTTTCTCTTTTCCCCACGGCCATGTAAAGACATTTCCAGGTATTTTCAACACACAGTTCGTTGATAGGTTCTTCATATAGCATCTAATACGGCTCAATGTTACTTAGGACCTAATGCATTGTTTGGGTTGGAATATATCAATCGCAACCTTGTGTACCTTTTCCTTGATTGACCTGTTAATATAGATTGTAGTCCGTAACCTCGAGTAAGTGTATAAACTACGTAGACAGTTTTTGAGACGTTTGAGACCTCCTCCCCACTTATAGTGTTTACGTAGTTTACGAACAGCCCCTAACACAGCAAATATCACTAAATCCAATTATGTATGAAAAGTACAGGAAACTAAAAACAATGTTTTATACGAATCGTTAGCTAAATCCAAATTATTAATTCAATGTGAATTTGAAAACATAGCTATATCATTGTGCTTTAAATTTGATGCTCGAATTTGCTCGGGTAATATTACAATCTACATAACACAACACCAATATAATAGCACTTAGGCATTCGGTTTTTCGGTAATTACCTCATTCGTCATTTGATTATGAAAGCCCTGCCCTACGCCCGACACCGTTCGAAAATCCTTTGCTACCATGCCAGCCACTCGTTTGCGTCCCTGCGGTGACATATCCCGCCGTGACCTTCGCTCTTGTAGATCAACCTGGAACAAAGCGGGGAAATCATAGACAAACCGTTAATACTGTCTTGTTTCCTATACATCAGGCAGCAACCGTCATTATTCGATGCATGTTTATTAGGTTTTAAATAATTTATACTTGTAAAGCTACAACTACTGGATAACAATAGAACAAAAATGAACTGTTTTGCGTGATTAAAAAGCAAGGCTGTACAGAAGTTTAACCTAAAATAAAAAAGATCTGCGCAGTAATTCTAGTTTGTTAAATAAAAAATGCCAAAACTCAGGTTTTCCCAACAGAATCTAAGGGGAATTAATTTATAAGCTGCAATGTGATTCAAATTTAAATCAAGCGATAATATAGGCTAGACCTTCCATTTTGTTTCATATACAACTTCATACATCTTAATCTGAACCGTTGATTAAGTGGTGTTAAATGTGAACTGTCTAAACCATTGCGTATGAAATGCGAAAAATAAATAAATCATAATACTTTGTAAACTTATTTAATCTGACGTGTGGGTGTATGATATTGGCTAGTATTCGCATCACGAGACCAAAATTGTACCGACGCGAAATGAGATTCTTAGTTTGTTCCTTCAACTAATGGAAAACTGTAATCACAGCGCAAACGTCTGTAGGGGGTCTCGACTCAACTGAAAAATAAAATTGTGTTAATTGAGTTCACCAAAAACTATGCACAAACAGTACATCCATTACCCAAAATTAAACTCATAACCAAAAACATGTGTTAGTGAAAAAGTGCAGGAAGGTGAGAATGCTATTTTACAGTGTACATCTTTTGTTTAGTCGGTTTGTTTAAATATCCGCAATCTGAATCCAATAATTATTGTGATTGTGGAGGTGGTGGTGATGGTGGATGAAAGAAATAAAAATGGTTGACCAATTTTACCTCTGGTGGAGGACTTGATGATCCTACGGATGATACGCTAGCGCCATCACGTGCAGTCATCAGACCATCGATATCGCATTCGGAAGTCGTGTCGGAGTCAGTGTACCTTGAAGTGGTGCTCGGTGGCGATAAATGATCGGTCGGTGATAAAATCATATCCAGTTCGTTGCCAGGATCTCTATCGTCTCTACGTAACTACGGATAAATCGTGAAAAATGCATGATTGATTTTCTTAGAATAAGATGCTATAACTATTCAAAATAGTGGGAAGAAATAGTCAGTTGCAACTGGTACTCGAATAGATACTCGTATGGAACAGTTTTTATGGTACAAAGAATCATGGAGAACGAATAACTTTTAAGTTTCCTTTATTTTTTCTCAAAAGAACAAACTGGTCAAAGGGAGAATAAAATGTACTTCTTATATATTACGTCTGTGCAAAATCTACTAATCGATCTATAACTACCTAGTGGTGCCAGCCAGGCTGACGCTTCGCAATGGTCTAGCATTCATGAAGACACAAAATTCCAATAAACAATTCAGGCTACCATCCATAAAATAACAACAAACAGAAATGTATTTGCATAAATTTGGAAAACCTAAGCAGTTTAACATGTAATATACCCATATGCGGCTTCAGTCAACCAAAAGAGGGGGGGGGGTCATATACTAATGAATCGTCTACATTCAAGATTCGCTGTTTATGAAGTATTCAAGATTTGCTGATTATGGACAATGTTGATGCTGGTAAAATGTAGATTTTCATTCAAAACTACTCCCTAGAATAATTCCTCGTATAATAATCGAAATTTATAAGGCAGCGCCGATGGACAGTTAACAGGTTTCTGAAACACTACTGAAACCATAAATGTGTATGAAGCAGGTCTCGTCTTTATTGCAGCGCGATACAATATCAGTTTCATCGACAAAATCGATGCGATGAAGATACTGCTAATTTTAATTTTTCTGTTCAAGTCGAGAACCTCCGCATCATAGCATCTCAATTAGCACCTGTAATCAAACTTTCAATCGTATGTGCACGGCCGCTGAATCTGACTCGTATTTGAGTTCCATTTACTCAAGCTCACAAGAGCGTAAGTGATTGACTGACTAGATTTAGAAATGTTTTCCTCGATTTTCCAGGATTTTTTTTTAATATGAGGAAAATCGTGAGAGGTTTCCCTAAGTATTTTAGTATACTCCTTGACTGAGTTAAATTTTCCTTGATTATCCTCATATTCGAGCAGATTTAATGAGTGACTTACGTTTTTGCGATTTTGAGTGAAAACCGTTCAATGTTTAGTCGATCTCATCGGCAGTGTGTCTCTTTCTCCCATCGCGAATCTTTCAAGCTTTGGGAAAGCGTGCGAGTGAAAGAGCGCTCGACTTTGATCAATTCGTCTTTCTTGAGGCACATCAACCGACATGACATGCACACTTAGAAAAAATCATATAAATTTAGGTGCCCTCTGACTGACATATACGAGCGTCAAATTTGACATAAAATTGAGTCATAATAGACGCGCAATTCAGCTCAATCAAACGTACTTTCTGTCGAGTACCGAACGTTTCAGTCTCGGAGCACTTAATTTTACATGACATGTTTATTTACGTCTCATCCTTTATGTCAAAGATGGATTCCGTCACGTGTAAGATTAGGTATTCCTAAGTGTGTGTATGATGGAAAAATAAAAATATATATTTAAAGCATTTCGCACATGAACACTTGAAGATTACACGCAACGTTTCATTTATACATATTCACCTTCCATCCACATATCCATACAAAAAGTAACAAACCGGGGTTGCCAATAATTGTTCAAAAATACCTGACAACCTGAAGCACCCAAAAAACTGGAAGAACAATGGACCATCATATAAATTTGATGTTCATGCAAACATGCAAATATCTGAGTTTTTCAAGATTTTTATTAACCTATGTTTTTTAGGTAAAACTCCACCGATCCGATAGTCTTTAAATCGATACTGACATTACAAGTTGTAGCATTACCAATACTAAATTTTACATTAACAATCTATCTGATCAATTAAAATTTACAAATTTTCCAATAAAATCGGCATTGTCAGTTGATAGCTTTGATCAATTACTAATACCCAAAGTAACCAAAGGCAATTTATTCCACGTTTATGAATATACACAGCTGAACAACGGCTATATGTTGAACTAAACGCATTTTTCCAAAACATGCTATAAGACCATAATTTATTTTTACAAGGACCTCCTCTCGTTTGGTGTTCTGTCATGTGTGAGAACTTGATGGATAGTTAGAAATTGTTCACCAACAAGCGGAGTTGGTCTACTAGAGAAGTTTCTTATTTTTCTTAGAATAATTTTTTGCCACGATCATTTTTAAATCGTGTTATATGACAAATAATTTGTTTTTTTTTTTTAAACTTCGAAGCTTGTACTTTTTCAGTTGTATACAAGTATGAAATAAAGTATTTTCAAATCTAATTGAGCACTCATATATGTCATTGAACAGTATCTTTTTAAATTAGTTTTTTTTAGGCTCAAATATCCAAGGACTCAACGGAGCCGAAAACCAGTATTTTTTAAATAATATTACATATTAATGAGGGGAGTTTTTTATAAGTTCCTGTTACTCTTTCTGGAAGGCGACTTGAGCTTAGCTTCCGCTTTCAGCCGTGCTCTCAACTCCCTTGCTTCTTCCAATTGTTTTCCTTCAGCAGGGTCAGCCACTTCGTTCCGATGTTTGAAAACAGGCGGCTGCGGTTCCTCAGCAATGCTTGCTGACTCTCCATTGTTCTTGTCGGCATCCGGGGAAGTACCATCCATCTCCACTATCTCTTCTTCCAGCACTGCAACCCCTTCCTCTGTGTCTTTATCGTTGTCCACTGACGATGTACCTCCATTCACTACCCCAGAGTACGTACTGTCATTGGATCCTTCTTCGTTCCGTTGTTTTCGTCTTCCTGTTGTTGCTGTACTGACTGCTTCCGTTCCTTTCGCATGGGGTAGGAGTTCATCCGATGCCCTTCCATCTTGCAAAGAAAACACAAGTTTTTGTTCCTCGGTTGATATGTTCCCCTTCCGATTGAGAAAATGCAGGAAGTTAGGAATCTCCTTTTTTCCGTCCACGTAAATTCCCCGTACACCTGTTAGCATGTCGAGGCCCTATTTCCCTAGCACCAATGCTAAATCGCTATCCAGGACATCTGGTGGTAGGTCGTAAACTCTCACGTACTGAATGGTGCTCCCCACAGGCAACATGTGTACCTTGACTGATTTTCCATCGACATAATTGAAAATGAGTTGTTCACGGTTGTAAAATAAAGCATGGATTCCACTGATTTGCACTTGATGAACATAGATTTTTCCTCCGCTATACGATAATCAGCGACCATCTGAGTGGAATCCACGTCCAACGCTTTTACAAAGTTTGCAATTCAGTCCACTGACGGTTTTTCACAGCTAGCTGTGAAGCTGCATCCAACAGTCAGTTTCATTTTCACCGACATCTCCAGTTGTTTGCTTCCTACGGAGCAACGACAAAAGAGACCGGACTTCAAACAATGAGCAAGCACCGCAACAATAGTTGCTATCGAATAACAGGCTATCGTGGGACCTGAACCGAAATAACACGCAACTGCCTGTGTCGACAGCAAACAGTGCACTCCATCAGTATTTTAAACACCTTTATGAAAAGTTTTGTTGCTTGGGTATCAACGCAATTATTTGAACATTCTCTTTTAAGACTATTTTCCTCAATTAGGGTAGAGCGCTACTTCGTCGTAATCGCCCATTTCCGTTCTATCGATCAGAAAAGATCAATAATATCAATGATCTCACCGTGCACAAATCAATAATAGGCATGTGCCGATGCGTTAGTTCATTAGCTACAACATAAATCCTATTAGAGCGCATTGTATGAATATTTACGCTCATTGTTTTCAAAACAAAAGAAGCGCTCCTAGCGAATTCCCTTTTTCTACGTTTATCCCTAGAACGAAGAAAATCTAATGGCGTTTCAATGCGTTAGGACGGAATTGAAACTCGTAGAACGGATTTAGAATCAAGAAGCAGTGTTAGATTTTAGACAATATCTCAATAATTTGTGACTCTTTATCAAATCCAATGGTACTTATGGAAAGGTGAATATATTTGCAAGTCATCTTTGACAGAAATATTCCTCTGTTTGTTTAAACTCGTTCAGAAAAGAGAGATAAAGCGTGGGTTGTGCTTAGTACGACGGAAATTAGATCAAAACCCTATTACTAAAAAATCGACAATGATTTATGAGCAAAAATGATTTATCTGACATGTATACATTTGTATTCGAACAAAACAGACCGTCTACAACACGTAAAACTGGGAATCTTCAGGGTATTTACTTTTTCCTGAAAAAAATCTAGACTTCTTAGGAAATTTCATAATTACTCAAAGAATTTTCAAACTCTCTTAGGAAAGATGCATAAATGACGTAGCATTTTAGGGTGACCTCAGCCATGTCATTTATGCTTTTTTTCCTTTTTAAGCCATTATTCAGGAAAAAATATACATTTCATTATGTAAACATTTTTTTCCAAATTTTTTCCTTACATTCATTGAATTTAGACGATGCAGAAAAAAAAATTATTTTAAGTGTCAAATTAATTTTTAATTTCAAATTAACAATGTTGTAAACATTTCACTGTTTTGGTGCTGCATAACCTTAGGAATTGCACATAGAATTTTATATCACATCACATTTAACAGTTCTCGTACCAAATTCAGCTATTATGAATAGGATTCATATGGAGCTTTAATGAAAATTCATAGGAATTAATCTAGGGTAATTCCCAAGCATTTATGAGACAATTTGGAAGAAAATTCTGAGGATTATTTGACAATAATTAAGAGGAAAATTTTGAAACAATTCGAAGGAGAAATCCATGGGAATTCTGAGGATAATTTCAAGAATGTTCTTGGAGACAAATAATCCAGAGCATAATTCCAGGTGAATTTTCAGAGAATACTAAGGGAGTATTCTAAAAGGAAGATTGCAATAAAATCAGAGAATAATTCCAGGAGATCTTCAGAGGAATTCCAACAGAGATCTGACATGAATTTTTAGGAAAAATCTAACAACAATGTGAAGGGAACTCAATGAATTCATAGAATATAATTCAAAGGGAATTCTGAAGGTAACTCATCGAAAATTCTGAATACAGTTCCAATATGTAAGAAAAATGTCATGGCAATTCTGAGGAATATTCCAAATGAATTTAATTTTTAAGTTGGTTGCATCGAAATTTTGGCGAAAATTTCAAATGAATTCAGTTGAGTATTCCAAGGATAAGTTTTATCCTCTGTTCGGGATTGTTGTAGTATATCCCGTGTCCTTAGTTTAGTGCATGTCGTATTACTCTATCACTCTTAAGAAATCATGAAGTATTAGATTTTGATATAGTTGTCATTCTTGCTTTTATCGCAAGGAATCGAATTTAATTGAATGGTCCCGCTATTTATACCCTTCGAAGAGTGAGCGCACCCTCCAAAGGCGCGCCCCTTTGTCAGTCAAAATTGGATTCCTTAGCAACAAAATTAACCAATGACACCGATAATCCCTAGTAGCACGCTTGTCACAAATCACTTGTAGAAACTTATATACGGCTTATTTCAGTCATAAACAAGTTGCTGTAACTAATTGTGATGAAAGTGTGCTACTCGGGATTGACCATGTATCAGAACCTTAGACTTAACCGCTTCAAACAATGGAACAACGAATAGAAGATTAAGAATCACATGGATACTAACTGATTTTTTTTTCCTTGTTCCAAGTTCATCCTCAGTGGACAAAGTCGAGTATTGTCACTATCAAAAAGTAACAAGGACTACGATGCGTTCCTTTGATTACTGCAAAATCCTGTTCCCCTAGTTTGAAGCAGTCATGGCTTGGTTTCGTTGGTAGATCTTTCATCCAGTAACGTACCACGAAAAGGTGATCTACCCACGTTACGGGGCATTCCAAGGATATTCCAGAGATAATTTTTAGAATTCGAAAGAGAGTGCGTAAATTATGAGGAGCATTTCAAAGAATTAATGGAAATTCTAAGCATATCTAATAAAAACTTCCTATGGTAACTACATAGGAAATACAGGAAACAAACAGTTCCTGTCCACACCATGATAATGATTCATTAATCACCAGTTCAAAACAATACATAATTTTGAACATTTTCCAATCTTCATAATCCCGGTGAACTTCAGTGAAAATTCAAGACTCTTTTTTTTTTATTGTATTTTCCTGAAAAGAACGCCTTTTTATTGATTTCCACTGCTTTGATCTGAAGTCGAAAAGAGAAAATAATGAATCAAAACATAACGTAGGGCAGCATCTTGACCGAAAAATCTCTATGTCCCAGATCATAAAATTCTATTAAACTCAGGACATAACATTTGCTCGTTTCTCAATTTAATATTTCAAATCAGGAATCAAAAATCCTCGAGAATGTATGAATTATTCTCAAGTATTAGGTGAACTCACTTGTGGACATCACTGTATTATGCAGTGTGACATAGTAGCCATGACATATGCCCTCTAGTGAAAGCGTCATAGATGCCGCAAAACGGGGTCAAATAGATCAGCGGACTGTGATTGACCATTGAGGTTTCGCATTGTTTCCATTCAGGCATAATATTTTGAGTGATGTTGAAATAGGATGTATTCTTAAACCCTGGACCAACAAAAGTATTGAACTTGATGCAATACACCCCACTGATCAAATCGACTCATTTTTTTTCCTGTAGACCAGTTGATTTGGCATGAACATCAGACCCAAAAGTCTTACACCCTTAATAACGTTTGGTCTTTAAAAAAAATTGTAGCGGAGAAAATTTCCTACCAATCAGTCATCTAGTTTTTGAGAAGAGCAATATGGTGAACTGTTAGACAGATATGATCAAAAAATTTGGATTTCCCATTGTAAAATTTCACTATAAACTTCAAATGGTTTGAGCACATTCAGCTTGTAACCAATTTGGAACCGTTTAAGCACTGGGGAACGAAAATTTTAAATTTTACATCACTCTTAAGGGTACCCGGTTTCATCATGAACTTTCATGATCATTGGAAGCATAACCTACACGCAGATCCTAAGCAATCATAAACCACCTAAGGTTAATTGTGATGCATGTGCAAGGCAAGGAAACCCAGATACATTAGTAAAACATGGTAATATACCACATCCACATATTTATAAAAAAAAATCCGTTTATCAACTGAAACCACGGTCAACTTCAATAGCTCTGTACAAAATGCAATGGAACACCTATCAATTTGTAACACACTAGCAACACAATTCTAGGTTAATGCTACCCAAGCTATATGTCAGATTCAGCTATTGATACGGATGGTACTATCAATTGAAAACTGAATAGGAACGTTCAAACAATATCGAAAGGAAGATAACAGTACATACTCTAGTCACTGAGTCAGCGGAAGGTTGGGGAACCGATTGAATAAATGTTTTAAAATACACTACGAATAATTGAGGGAAACCAAACGAAATAAGTCCGAGCATAGGCAAAGAAGTAAAGTCATCCCGTAGCATCATCTGATAAATACGTACTGCATCTCGCAGGGACTCCTGATGCGGCTGCAGTGTGTACCAATCTGGTTCGTCGTCCAGGGGATGCGTGGCCAGTTCGATAATCGCTTCACCGAGAAAATCGTTGGCACCGAAGCGCACGTAATCCCATAGGGTGATCTGGAAGAAGTTAAGATTGTTTCAAATTAATACGCTTTATTTGCTTATGCATAGACAAGCAGGCATTTACTTCAAACAGACGGTTCTGAAGGTCAGCTCTTCGGAGGCCCTCGTATACAAACGTTTGACCCCAACGAGGATCGTTGGTCAGAGCTAACGTTTTCGTTCGTCTTTTGGATTTTTCACTTCGATCGGGAAGCAAACATATCTGGAAATGGGAAAGGAATTTCCATGAGGTTCATTTCCAACTGGTCAATAAATCAATACTTACTTTGGCGTAAGGATTCCGTGCTGCGCCGTTGTGCCTTGATACCAGCCCGTTTGCGCACACGATCGTCACGATTAGCTGCAGAGAACTTGGTTCAAAGCCTAACTTCAACTGAACCCGTCCTCCGACGCTATTTTCCTGCTGCGAAGCTGTCGCAGCCGGTGTCAGTCTATTTGGGTAGCGGAGGTTGGTGGAATAATTACGTACGCTATGCAAGTCCGGTGAACCTGGGGACGTTACCAGTACACTTGGCTTGTCTCGCCGGTTGTAGCTTTCTGTGGATTTAAGTAAACGTTATCAGTTTGTACGAACTACAAGTGGTTACAGAAGGAAGAGCACAAAGTATTACACAAATATTCAACAAAAAATATAAGATATCAACATTCTTAGATCCCTAATTTGGAGCATTAATTTTTGGTTGGTTTTTGGATAGCACATTAGCTATATGTTGGGGTGCCAAAGGTTCAATTCGATCAATTTTTTCAAGTTGATTTGCTACGGAAAATGTCTTCTACTGACAGGAAAAGCATTTGCTAGTACCTCCTCTGTGTTGAGTTTGAACTCGCGTCGGGGAATGAGATTTTCGCCAAGATGCTTGAGTGTTTTTGCGATTTATCGAAATCGCACGTGTTACGAGTATTTCTACCAATGGTTCCAGCTTACTAGCATCGACTATATCGTATACGTCTAGTGCGGATTTACCGCGCAATGAGTGACCATTCCATTCCACCACTTCATCACCTGAAAACGTGTGGATGGGAATGAAAAACTGGATGCTGACATTGTTAAACTGGTGTGGAAACACAGCTACAGTAAAGGATGGTACGGTAAAACGAAACTAGTGGAACCCTACATCGAACAGGAATGCCTTTTTGTTAGATCCAATTACAATAGTTGGCGATACAATCATCCAAGCTAAGCACTGATTGGTTGGTTCAAAAGTTCTAAACAAGAACGGTTGGTATTTACCTGGCCTAATGTGTCCTTCCTGGTCTGCTATCGAACCTCGTTGTACTTGTTCAATAATTGCTCCCTTTTCTTCGTTTGGTAGAACTTGACCACCGCGTACTTTCAGTCCTAAAACGTCTTCGCTGTCAACATTTCTTAGCAGTACCATATGACCAATCATACGGCTGCCATCTGCTGACACTTGCCAACTAACAGGATTCTGTGTGGAATTTCAAATTCGATGTTTGCTTCATTTGTGTGTTCAATATCGATTCGTTGTTGCAATTTAATTGAACACTCTAGAGCATTTTTAGCATTACTGAAAGAAATCAACTGCTGGAATCGATTTACTAACGAGCAAAAACTCACATACAATTTCTTTCAGTAACACATTTGCCCAAAAATAGTCCTAATTGTGTCGATTGTCTGTTATGATTTAACGGAAAAATTTTAACAACGTAAAACCTAACCAGATAGTCATTTACCATGTATACGACAGAAAATGAAGGAAAGAGAAACTATAAGAACAGACCAAGTATGTCTATATCCAATTTGAATACATAAGAAACGATACGATGGATGGATAGGTGAGGATTATAAGAGTATGTGACTAAAGTGCATCATGGAACACACGGTGACACACAATGTAGAAATGCAATGGGAAAACACTGATCATAGACACACAGACATGACGAAAAATAAATTTTGTTTATTTACAGCAAGATGATTGGAAATCGATTGGTTGAAATCAAACTTGATCATGTAGAGATAAAATTTAATGAGCCTTCTTCCCGCGAGCATATTGTTGGAGAAAACAGCAGCTTATGTGTTCTAGATACCGACATAGGAACAATATAGAGGGAACAAGATGTCGATAGAATAGTTGTATATGACAAATGGAGAGAGTCTAACTAAAGAATAAAAAAACGAATAAAAAGGCAAACATATTATCCCCACATGCAACTAGAGAATCAAACTTTATTAGAACTAGAAGAATGAGCAGAAGTCAGATGCAGATTCAATTTGATATGGAAAATGGGAATACTGTTTCAATACCTCTCCAATTCAACCAATAACATAAGCTAATGCAAATGCCGATTGAAATTACTCTAGATTTAACGGAATCAAATGTTTATTTATGCCACTTAACGGTTTATTTGTTTGGAGAACGCAAAACAAAAACATTACCATCAATTTTAGATCAGCCAATAATTCTTATAATTCTTCTTATAATTACTGATACTTCCTTGCTTACAATAATCTTTTAAGGTGAAATTTGGTAGAATGCACAAATGGCCGCTATTTTATATTTTACCTTTCCGCTTCTAATTTTTGATGGCACGAATCATAGAAACCTTAAAAGATTATGGAATTTTCCACTCGCTTTCTACCGAAAATTATGTTAGTTATACCCAAGAGTAGGTAATCATGATTATACTCAACGTTGCTACCCCCGTTGGGTGATTTTGCTCCTACGATTTTGACAACATTAGAAGGAGAAAGGGAGACAAACTAGTCAAAAGTAAGTAAAAGTGAAGTGACCGCTGGGTACTTTTGTTTTACCATGCATGATGCTGATGGGTGTAACTCAATTTCCGGGTCAAATTAGGTTGATCAATTTTCAAAACCTACCGGTTTTTATACATCATCTGCAAGAGCTAATTTTTCTGAGTACACCCAAACTTTTTTTTGCGCGGTTACATTTTTTCAATTTTCTTTTTCTGTGATGAAGTTAGAGGATTTCTGTAGGTACCAAATTTTTCGTATTTTTTTGATTTCAAAAATCAAAACGAAAAAAAAATTGCGCTAAATTTATTAGTTGACAGCATTAAAACATTGTAACTCAATTTCCGGGTCAAATTAGGTTGATCAATTTTCAAAACCTACCGGTTTTTATACATCATCTGCAAGAGCTAATTTTTCTGAGTACACCCAAACTTTTTTTTGCGCGGTTACATTTCTTCAATTTTCTTTTTCTGTGATGAAGTTAGAGGATTTCTGTAGGTACCAAATTTTTCGTATTTTTTTGATTTCAAAAATCAAAACGAAAAAAAAATTGCGCTAAATTTATTAGTTGACAGCATTAAAACATTTCCAGAGCACTCAAATTTAATGAATTTTGGAGCTCGGTTCCATTTTGAATGCAGATTATACAACTCAATTGAACTCGTAGTTAAAAGTGACAGATTGTTAAAGAATATCCCTGATATCTGAGCGTTGATTCTATTGACAGAAAAGAAGTAAAATTTTGGAAACCGTAACTGAGCTATGCTCGATAATCGGTCCAACGTCTAGACAGGGATTTTCAAACAGGGAAAATAACTTTCAAACTGTTGCACGGTTGGCTGTCCGGCAAATGAAACACAGCCAAAGAAAGTTACGATTATTTCTAGCCTGAAAAAGTTCTCGAGCAAATCGGGAATGCTTAGCAAACGCGTCGTTTGCATTGTACGATGCTAAATATCCACAATGGTAATGTTATCACATTTACCGAATACACAAAATTACATGATAGCAAATGAGCCCCTTCCCGAGCAGGAACGAATATTTCGATACCTTAAATTGGTATGGATAAACCTGACATAAAGAGTTAAAATTCCAAAAAAATAATACCTAAAAAATCCCACAATGCCATTCCAATACCAAATCATGCAAATGCAATACCAAAACAATGAAAAACAGGTATTCTTTTGGAATCAAAATATTTTTTTTTATTTAGAAAGTATTTTGGGTGCAATTTTTTGGTATTATTCTTTGGTATTTACTTCTCCCCGAGCTGGGGAAAATAACTTACGCATAACTGATTCTGACGTGATTCCAAAATTTGGTGTTGATCAGCCTGACATAAGAAGTAAACTACCAAAGAATAATACCAAAAAATTGCATGCAAAATGCTTTATAAATAGCAAAAATTTATATATTGATAGCAAAATAATATCTGTGTGGTATTGTTTTGGTATTGGAATGGTATTGTGGGAACAAGTTTTTTGGTATTAGATTATTTGAAGTTTATCTCATATGTCAGGCTTATCCATAGCAATTTAAGGTATCGAGATATTCGATCCTGATACTCGGGTTATGTCAGGCTGATCAACACCAAATTTTGGTATAAGGTCAGAATTAGGTTTTCATACGTTATTCCTCCTGCTCGGGTTGTACATGTTGCTCAAATGTGAGATTTGGGCATCACTCTGATTCTGAGTTCGAGTTTAATCGAGTAATAATTCTAGTAAAATCGGTCAACAACAACAGAGCAGCCAACTGAGAGGAGCAAAGTGAATGCGGTTTACGAAGTACTGGAAGCCATCAAATTAGACCTCCACCAGTGGCCAAAGTCCATAGGCATGGAGAGAAAAGTTGGCACTCTTCACGAATCCAATTGGACAATCGGATCAAGAACCGCTTCCAAGCAGGGGATGCATCCGTGTTTCTGCACAGATCGGTCGCCGAGTTACTATGCCGATCACGTACACCGGTACACAGACGGAGTAGGTATCGGGATTTTTGGAGACGGTATTGCTGAAAGCAGCAGTCTTCCTCCACAGTGCTCAGTTTTTTCGGCCGAGGCTGCAGAGATCTTCCATGCCACTACGACGCCAGCCAACAAACCGATACTTATCTTAACCGACTCACACAGCGTCGTTCAAGCGATCACCTCGGAGGCACCAAAGCACCCCTTCGGACACTTCGGAGTGCCAAGTAACGAGTCTGTTGATCACCTTTTCGGAGCCGGGACATCAGGTCCCAGACTCACCGACAAGGACGTCAGACGGTGGATTATGCGGACCATTCGAGCGGCATGAGAGGCCGAGTGGTTCCGCAACAAAACTGTCTTCATCCACATAGTCAAAGGGTCAACTGAAGCTTGGAGCGAACTGGACAACCTGAGGGAGCAACGCGTGACTTCGCGGCTTCGGACCGGTCACATTATACTCTACAATAACTATGGTGGTCTGCCGTTCCGCAGAAGCTGCATCATCTGCGGGGTACCCTACACCGTCGAACACATCCTGTGCAACTGCCCAACTACAAAATCTTCGAGAGTCGCTCTCCCTGACTTCCAGCATCAGGGATCTGCTCGGGAATGATACTCCGGTCTCGGCAGCACTAGTAACATTCTTAAAAGAAGCCAAAATCTACCACTTGGTATAGCAGGAATTTTTTTCGGCCGTCGGGATATCTCAGATAAATGGATTTCCCCTATTGGACCCATGCCAGCTTAGCTCTGTTTTGTTTGGATTATTCGTTTGTAGCTTGTTTTAAATCATTTTGTTTTCTGTTGTTCCTCTGTTTCACTATTTTATATATTTTTATTTTTTCCAAATAAGTTGAAGAGCCAGCAACCAAAGTTATTTACAAAATGTTAATTTAACCATGTATTTAGAGGTTACTCACTCTGAGGCCTCTCCTTTCTCCGGAAATGAACTAGCCATAGGCTAAAAATCTCCCTAATGATGAATTAAATAATAAGCCATCAAATTATACGCTTAAAATTGATAGGAGTATACAGCATATTGTCAATGGCAGCCTTACCCAAAAATAACATAGCGAGGATGATCCGAATAGCATCAGTGTCAAACTGGGAGTGCGGAAAACTGCTGACAGGAAACTTCAGAAGCTGTCCGTCAGCTGGAAATCGGCTGTCTTCCGAACCATAGCAACGATTTAAATTCGCCAAACGGGTCAATTGTTCCAAAAATTCCAAGAAAGCGCATATAAACTTCATCGCATCATCCGGAAGAAGGAAAACTTTTCGGAAACGATTGAGCTTCCACTTGTTCATATTTACGTATATACATTTCCTGAGCAACTGCTTCCAATAGATGAATCGCCCTTATCAATAATGTCACGCAACTTGTTGATCCAACGCTGTAGTAGAACATTGTTGCAATGATCGCACAACAAAACTATCGAAAGATAGACAAATTTTGACGTTTAACTTTTTCCAGGCACCTTTGCCATCATTAATGCCGTAATAAAACTAAACGGTATAGGATCAAGCAAAATGGTTTCAGATAAAAACAATTCAGTCTGCAAATTATCTTCATAAAAGCGGCATTGAAATGTTTTGCATTTGTTAGCGATTTCATGAAAGTAAAACAGCTTTTGCACAAATGGCTTATGGAAAATTAATGTTTATGCCATCGCGACTCTATCTGCGATGCAGGAAAGATTTTGTTTTGCATTCGTTAGCTGCGTGCGCTGTGTAGATAGAAAGAAGATTGGTGACGATTCTGAAGATTTCCTCCAGAAAGATGATGCGCGATGCAAGTAGATGCGAAAAATGATAGAAGATTTTTCGAAGATTAATTCGCTAGTGTGAGATTTTTCAAGCATCTGCATTTAGAATTGAGATTTAGATGTGTCACCCCCTCGCCTCTTCGTTTTTCAAGATGTTTTTCCCTTAAAATAAATTTATTCTCATCAATTCATCAATGAGCGGTAATAGAAATTACGAAAATTATCAAATTGTCTCGGCTGGGAGTAATGATTAACTAAACATATATATGTACTTTGTTTTCTAAATTAAAAATAATTAGTAAAATTAATGTTTTCGGACGGTGAACTTATTTTTTCGATCTTCCAAAGCACATTTCACATTAGATTTGACCTGTACCCCAAAAGTAGACCACAGTATGAGTTTCGATAATTGTTTGCAAACTATGCCAAAAAAATATTAGAAACTGGTTTGGAACTGCATCGAAATTAAATAAACTTTTTAAATCTCCAAAATAGAGGAAAGTGATTAGGTGAGACGATAAGATTCGTGAAACACTAATTTAAGTTTGGAAAGGGCATGACTAAAAGCTGCATTTTGCAGATTGCCCAAGCAAACCGATGAGTAACTCTACAGTAAGAACCAAACTTTTTCATCTAATAAATTGAATATTGCTCCCATTTAATCATTTCTTGTCCGATTTTGATGGAACAACTTCCAATCGATCAGATAGTTGTTTTCATATCTGTAATTATATTTCATATGAAATAGATTGTGATTCTATAAAGAAAGTAAACAGGTCAAAAACATTACATTTTTTTCTATGTTAAATAGATTAGAGGAACTAAGAGGAACTTTTTATTTACGAATCATTTAGGGGAAAAAAATCACAATTTATTTGTTCATCGCCGTGAAACTTCAAATACATATGCTCGGTGTGTCATTTCATCCTCACTAACGGAAAACTGAGGTGTCAAGCTAAAAAAGGTATGCTGCTACTTTTATTACGAACTAAATACGATACGGAAAGTGCCTGTTGAAAACTTTGTTTTGAACTATGATTTTTCAGTTTTTGTTAACCTTGATTACTTGTATCTTCTGCTAGTCATCAAATTAGGCAGCAATATCTCGAGGTTATCTTAGCTAGAGTACTGCTATGCTATGGTGTACACATATTTTGAATCGGAGATAGTCATCTTCTTTTTATTGGCCACCTGAATCCCCATAAGGCACCCAAAACAGGAATATGCCAAACGTTCTTATGTGATCTTGTTCGCCGATAATATATAAATCAATAATCTCAAATTCAAACAGCAACAACAAAAAACCGCCTCTCAGCATATTCGCCCTAATTATTTCCGTTTTCATCAATGACACTGATGCATGACTATAAAATGACTAACATGGAGAAATCCCATCGTCTCGAAGGGCAGCACGTGCTCAAGAGCCTCGACAGAGCAGCCAGCACAACGTCGCTGGACGAAGTCTGCGGCGTCATTCTGTAGCAGCATGGTCATCATTTTGATTTATGTTGTTCTAAAGCATCATTCAATCTATATGTATGATTGGAAAAAGCGAAATCATATATTCAGCGTTTTCTACACATTTTCTTTGGGAACAGGTATAGCTTCTATAGTTCAGTGAATGTGTTTCACTTTCCGCAACATTTAGTAACTGCAGTTGTGGCACTCAGCAATTTTGATTCCGTTAACATGAGTAATCTGCATCTGCATTTTAATTTATACCAGGATGGATAGTCAGAAAATAAACTCAAATCACTGAAAAGATATTTTATAGGAAGGTTGGTGCGAGTATGTTACGGAAGCTCATGCAAAAGCTACATCATTCATGCATAACAATCAACGATAAATAGCTATATCCTGTTGAGTAACAGATACACGATGTATATGTAGGTAGGTTAAAAACAATAATATCTTCAAATAAATAGAGTTGTATTGAATGGTGTGTACTCTGCCTGTGAAATAGTGTGACTTCTTCAATGTGTATTGTGTTGGTTATTTTTAAGAAAAGTTTCAGTATCAAAGAAGGTACCTTTGGACCATCGCCTCGATTTGAATCTTCACTACTAGTAAATGTACTACTGGTATCGATGCCTGAATCCTTTGTCGTTGAATCTTGACTTCCCTGACGTTCCGACTCCCAACGTCCCCAGTCGGCATCGGCATCCTGTCCATCGAATCTCACCGTTTTCTTTCTTCGCTCGGTGAACCGTCGACTGTCAGCCGGTTCATCCCAGTACGGGTCCGGCTGTTCATTGCCAGCAGAACTCGAGTTGTAGCGACTGTTCTGCTGAATATACTGATGTTGGCTATTATGAACTTGATGGGCTTGCGGCACTGACTGGTGACTATGCTGATGATGGCTACTACTGTGGTGATGATTATTGTTATCGTACGCCAAAGAAGTAATGGTGCTATCGGCAACCACTACCTGTGGTAGTGGCTGCTGAGCTTGCGAGTGCGACTGCTGACTTTGGTACCGATTGTGATTCGTTCGATTATAGCTATTTCTTTGTTGTACATCCAGCTTACTCGCCCGGTAGTCGGTTAGGCTTGGATTCAGTCGAGAGTGATTATCAAAATACTGTTTTTGGTGCCCGGCTGCAAAAAGGGTCGAAAGCGAACAACGCTCAACATTTGCTAGTAATAAATAGGCAATCTCTACTAAACATCTAAAAAATACGATAACAAATATAAGTACAACAAAAAAGTGGTGTATATAAACTAGAAACTGAAGAAACATATTGTTAAATGATAACGCATATCCCTAATTTTACCTACTGCACGGGATCTGTTTCCTAATCATTTTACAACCATCCTGGTGTCTAAATTGACGGTATGTACACAATTCACTTCAGATGCACTTTACAAACTGAGCACGTATTTACGAATCGGTTACTTATGGAACAAATTTACACTAAATATTCCATTCCACCTATGTTCAAAGTACTTCAATCTAAGTAAAATACTCAAAATGTACCAGCACCTAATATTTCTGTATGATCCATTAAAACAACGTTGAAATAGTCGAAACAAATTGGAAAATCACGTTTTTGATAATACAGTAGTGCCATTCTATTGAATTTAATTGCATTATATTATTAGTTTGCAAAAGGATAGGCCTAAACAAGACCTCAGGTTTGGAAGCACAAAAAATACGTGTACTAATTTCGATCATTTGATTGTTTGATGGTTCACAGTATGCTTTAAATTTAAACGTTACTTATGAGCGGTTGTATATATGGACGTAGGCCAATCGTTCCCGTGAAAAGGAAAATATACCGTTTGGGTAAAGGTACTAATTTTCAACCTAGCAACCAGAAAAAGCTCAAAAATAAACTGTTTCCCATGCAGTTAACACACGATACGCTTATTTTTAATCCATCGGATTTTTAGCCATTGAAAAACTTGCTGTATGTGTTAAACTCAAGGTTTTGATTTTTAAATTTGTATGGACGGGTGGAAAACTATGCTTTAACATCTGAACACTACAGCGTTTTAATCAACTATAAATCATCCAATTATATTACTTTTCCCACATAGCATCCTTTATCAAGAGATCTTTAGTCTTACAGAGGAATTTGCTCTTTTTTTGCATCAGGTAACATTGTACAGCAAGTGAAATCTTGAAGGACGATGGATACGCAAAAATAAAGTAAGTTGCTTCGGGTCTTTGACTGTTCCGAATTTGAGTCAGAACAGTATTTGTTAATAAAGTTTTGTTAATTGCATCAATAGACCTGACCGATCCCGATTTGAGAGTAGAATTACCAGCCTTGAATATAGGTTCCCATTATGGTGTGTTCCGTAACCGTAAGTACGTATAGCCATAACTGGTACACCTACCCTGACTGAATTGTGAATTATTGAATATTACCCCGATCGAACTTTGGTCTCCTGAGACATTTGTCCACATTTCTTAGAAACTATGAACGGGAAACGCATCCTTATTTACAGAGATTTCCAGTTTTTGATAGCACGTGCTTTTTTATCTTCTCTACAAAACAAACAAAATGATTTAATTTGTGATTTTAAGGACCAGGGTGGTAAACTATTTAAAAAATCCCTGAAATCACTGGTTCAAACTGTGGAAACTAGTTGATGGAATAGTTTAATTTGATAATTATAGTTAATATTAGTGACAATCTGATGAGATCTATAAAATTTTCAAATCTCATATGTCTGTGTGATCATCAAATAAAATTTTGAGAAGTATATTGTAATTCGGTCATACATACGGTACTAGTAGAAAGCGTGATTTTGTGAAACAAAGAAATTGAAAGCACAATAAAACCGTACCACCCAACAAGCTTTCAGTGGTCATCCAACAGTTAACTGACACAGCCAATCATATGTGCACACAACTCAGAATGAAATTAAATTCATTACGTTTACAACATTCAATACGACCTGTATATCGAGTACAGTCGGGTTTCTTTCCTTCTCTAATGAAAAATAAACCACATTGTGTATCTGCGAAATATTATGATAAACAAACCTGAAAGTAATAAACCACTACATTGTAGCGTGAGACATGTGTGAATGGGGGAAATATTTACGTACACTGAAAAAGGATAGAGAGTGCGCAATACGAAATACTCAATTGTACTGATAAGAGCAAATAGAGAGTGATGAGAGACAGTCATAGAAAATGAAAGAGAGATAGATAGAGAGAGAGATATAGCGAGAGAGAAAGAGCGCTAAAATAGTGTGAAGGGCAAGGGGAGAGAAACGTCAGTCGAAAAAACGATATCTACAGCGCGCATTATCGGTATCGTGAGTGACAGATACCGTAAAGAACTCATGCCAACGCGAAGGAAGAATCAGGATTTCTCAACTGGCAAGTAAAGAAAGAGCTGTAGGGCCTAGACTAGGAGAACAATCGAATAAATGATTTGATTTCTCTAACAATATGAAAACCAAACCCAAACCAAAGATAGATCAAAACACTAAACCAAATTAAGTCAACCTAGGTTATGGGACGCTGCTGAACTGCGTACTTAAAAAGAGAAACAATGCATAGTAATTATATGTTCTTCACAACAATACATTGCGCTTGGAAAGGTGACAATAGGATTAGAAAAAGTAAAAAAAAATCTTAGAGGACCACGACAGCACACACAGCAATTCTTTTTGAAAGTGACATAACCAATTAAAAATAATTATTTAGATGTGATTGAATCAAGAAACCATAATAGTGAAGGTGCATACAAGGACAAATACAATTACGACAATAAATTGAAACAGAACAGGAAAAAAAACATATGCAATCTCTGATTGTTTGACAAGTGTCAGCTTTTTCCATACAATCGCTTTTATAACTAGCGGCTAATCAGTATTACGATGGATGAGCTTTTCTACATTTTTTTTTTGTAATGCCCTTCGAATTATAAACCCATAATGTATCTATTCTTTGATAGTTGCTTATGTATTTCAATTCCGCAAAAGCATATCACGATGAACGATTGATTGCATTGGCCAAAGCTAGCCCCAGACAGCCAGACTACGTTGTGTACACACCATTCAAATAGACATGGAGTAATTGTTACAGTGTCTCGACCATAATACCATAACACCGGATGCACAGTTCATTTTATGACAGCGCCCCTAATAGTCGGCTCTATTCTATTCATTCAGTATTGAAAGTTTCGACACGGCTCGTGAAGTTTTTAAAATGTTTGCCAGATGAAAGAAGAGAACAGAAAATTAATCTTGCACACGCTCATCGAAAATCCTAAGTGGTCAGAGCGAAAACGTTGAAATTTACCTAAAATTCTATTTGGCCACAGCACGAGGAGATGTCCCCGTCAAGACTAAGATCATTTTCGCCGATAAATTATCATGGTAACATATGATCTGGCAAGGGATTTGCAGCTGAGGTTTTCGTCATAAACAAGATGAGGGACTCGAAAATGTACAAACAAGAGTGCCTGGAAAAAACACTTTCTACCATTCATTAAGGCACACAAAGCACCTATGAAGTTATGGTCAGATTTGACAAGCTACCACTACAGCCAGGACGGAAGGTACTTCAGTGTTTCCGTGATGAGTTCTATTACATCGAAAATTACATTAAACTACCCAATGGCCCCCAATTCCGCTCAATCGAGAAACATTAGACAATTATCAAATGGAAGTTGCAAAATAGGTCAGATGTTGGAAAAAGTTGGCCACTGAGGATTCAATAGATCCTAATTTTATCAGGTCACGATTTTATCAGACAGGGTTTCGAATCAATGCAGTAAATCAAATTTCCTGATTTTACCTGATTTCCCCTGATTCTTCAGTAATTTTCAAAAAAAAAATCCAGATACAGTGCCTACCCATTCATGGCAACACAATCTCATCACTGATGAGTCATCAGCTATTACTTTTCTCAAATTACCAGTGATTTCTGGAAAGTTTTTCATGAAATACCACATGGACAACCCATGAAGAGTGGTCCAGTACAATCTGAAATTAAATAATGCGTTCGATACATTTTAGAGAATGCAAAAAAGACAGAAATCACGTGTCGCCTAAAACAGGAAGGCATCGAATTTTTCTAAAATTACAGATTTTAAACGTGGTAAGTGCCAGAAATTCAGTTCAAGCAATAACCGGGATGTTACTATGATTTATAGCGATGTGTGAAGGAAACTGCAACCATATCGAAATAAATCTACAAAAAAGGCTTGATTAACACTTAGTATTCAGCAAGTTCATGATCCGTTAGATACGAGAAGAGGTCCTTAGCATGGTAATTTTCTCGCCCATAGAAGTTGTTTCTGACTGTTTCCGTACACTATGGGCCACCCCGTTTTCCTACATCTTACATATGAAACACTTATCTTTAATCCTGTTATAATTACTTTAGAGCACATTTTGAGACCCAGCTCGACCAGAGAATTATTCAGGATAGTATGCTTAATATGAACCAGCGTCTGGCTGAAAATCTCCTTAATAAAAACAACCAACCATAATATTCTTAAACAAACGCTAATTCGTGGCCGGATTCCTGCAGTTGGTGATCGTAGAAACAGCGCTTCGGCTCCAAAATTATGTAAGTTAATTTCATCTCAATTGCATTAGCAGCAACAATGCAATACTAAAACTTCTCTAAGAGTTTACAATGAAGACCTAAAATACTCAATAAAGCCAGTCTATGCTGTCAAGGCAATGCTTGTCTACGAATCTTCGAATCATTATTCAATCGTAAAAGTCCTACTCCAAGCGACAAAATTTCATCTTAGCAAGACTATTATCCTAAATTCTCATTTAGTTGATTCCCTGAGCTAATCAGGCTGCACACATTAAGGAAGAAGAACTACAAGTATTTAAAAAAAATCATCCTTTTCCTTTAACTACCATTCTTGTATTGACTCAAAGGCGCTCCAATGGTTTGATTTAACATAGTTGGATCCAGCAGACGCACCAATCTACTTGAAGGTAAAAAATTGTTGGATTAAATATGGTGTACACCTATTAGAAGACGCACATACCCATTAAATGTTGCAACAACTAACAACGTCTAGCGTTTGATTTTTATCAACCTTCAGGATTTTAATTCAACTTTGGAATGTGTCAACACCTAGTGGGAACTGAATTAATATTTGGCCCAA